TTGAAATTATTTTGTTTTTTATTTTTTGAATTATTCATAAGATAAAGTATTGGTGGAATTGTGTCTTGTCCTTTCCGCTCGGTCTTGGTTTTAGAGCAAGCCATCACATGCTTAGCATTGAGTTGAGAGCAGGGAGTCGCGACCTGCCGTTGACACAGCCAGAGTGATCACTACCAAACGTTATTCATATCTGGGGCCATTATTTGGCTCTTGTCAAAAGCATTTGGCTTTTGTGGTTGAAATAAAAACATTCAGAGCAAAGGGTCCGTAATTTTGCGTAAGGTTCAATACCCTGGCCACGGTAAAGTTAGGTTCCAATAACGGTCAAAGTGCACTAGTCTGGCAATATGAAACCGGCCACACAAATTACCCAGAGCTGGTTACACAAACAGCAGCAGGAGAATTGGTCAGCGATTTATGAAAAGGTGTGGCTAAGGTAAATTTGTGAAAGCGATGACGTAATTATCGGACGCGGCAAATTGTCTCTCCACCGATTTTTCATCCTGGTTTAATATACTGGCTTCTTATTTCCATGAATCTATACCGAACCGGAGGAACTAAACATATTGTTCCTGCTTTTTCTCTGTTTGGGATTGCATGTTTAAATTGAAATTTTATGGGTTTGTACATTATTTTTTGTTTAATTTTACAGTTATACAATAGCACTTGGTGTAGTTTCCCCCGTTTTTGAGTAATATAGTGTTAATTGATTAATACGATGTCTCATAAAAAAGCGTCAGAGGTATTAAAAAACCTGGAATTTCTCAATAGGGTCATAAATTGAAGTTTAAATACAAATGTATTTTGTTTTATTGTAAATTGTTCTAAATTTAATAAGAAATAAATTGAAATCAGTAAAAAAAATACATTATTAGATTTAAGTTGAATTCAATATTCCTAACTTTTTAAAATTATGAATTACATGTACTAATTAAAAATGAATGGAAAAGACTTTCAATTCAATTTGTAAAGCATGTATAAATAAACGTAATTAATTACAAATTTTTATTCCCCAAAATTTATATATTTATTTTAAAAAAGATATTTTTTAAATAGTTGTAAGTGAACAGAGTTACAATTTTACAAATTTGTTTTGTTTTAAAAAAGATTTATAAATAGTTGTAAGTGTAAGGAGTGACAATTTTAAATAATACAACATAGCCCAAGTGCAATGAAACTTAGTAAGCTCGTTTTTTTGATCCCAGTCTCGCAATATTACGAAAGGAATTCATTGTGGGAAAGTAAGACTTAGAAAAAGGGTAAGCTCATCAAAGTTTTAGACTTGGAGCCTTTTTTTTTACTGTGTGGTGAAAGCAAATGTAAATTATAGGAAAATGGTTAGGTTTACACTTTCTTTATAAATTTAGGAATTATGATTGTTATTAGAGAGATGCAGAAAACTAAACTCCAAAAAAAAATCATTGTGTAAATTATTTTTAAAATCTATTGTCTTTCACAATAATCGCCTTATATAGATTCTTGTTTTGGTAAAAGGATAAACTAAGTAATAGGGATAATAGAAAGAGGACTGGTCAACATTTGTTTGTGTTTGAATATAAAATTCCAAAGTGTTTCAAATGAATTAAGCTGGGAAACGTTTTCCATCCATTTTTTTACCCTCCTTTTTTCTTTACAGATACTTTAGCTTTACTTTCAAGTGAATGATATCAGTACATTTTAACAAACATTAACTATAATAGTAATCATTTACGGACTACTTTTAGATTGGAAATTTGAAATTCGAAAATTCTCATTTATGAATTAACTACTTTAAACTATTTTGCTTTTATGGATGACCGATATTTAGGTATTTTCAACAAAAATTTAACAGTTAAATAAATGAGTAATGTACCCCAATTTTCAAATAAATATCATAAAGAATATCGATTGTTATTATAACGTCATTTTAACGATCTTTAAAAATTGAATTCAATGTCTATTAAAATACCAGTAAACCTCTTTAAAAAATATCCTATTGAAAAAAGTGATGAAAATTAAGATAGGTCATGTTCAATATGTTTTTAAAAATATAAGAAAAAAAATATTACTATCTTTTAATTTTGTCATAGAAATTACATTATTTTTACTCATTTCAATTATATAATGATTTGTTTATTTTTGTTGAAATTTCCAATTAATGAATCAGGATTTCCATTATGTTACAAGATGACTCTGACGTACTTCTTGCGCATGCGCTGTTCATTCGATCTTTATCCATACGATATTCACGAAAAAGTCACATGATACATCAAGAAGGAAGAAAATATTCGATTGGAAACTTGAACACCATAGGTGTTGTCTTAATTTACATGTATATGAACAAATTTTAATCACATAGTCTTGAAGAGCAGGCATTTGCACGTTCTCAGAAAAATGAAGATTAAGTCGCCTTCAGTTGAGGGAAAATACTAACCAATGATGAGTTAGAAACTTAGAAAATTGTTGAAAAGTTCAACAATTGCTGATGCCCTTCTTTTTCAACATTTTTTTTTTTTTTTACATATCATTTAAACAGTTTGAATAGAACTAACGTGTAGGGTTCTACATTTTTATAATGATGGAGCATCTCTTTTGTTTACTCTCTCTCTCTCTAAAAGAAAAGAAATGTAATGCAAAAAATATAATTATTGTAAATACAAGTAACCATACTTTTATATCTTAAAGTTATCATACCTTGATATTTTCTAGTTATCATTCCTTGATATTTTTCGTTTATTAAAATTGAATGGTTATCTAACGTCCTTAGTTGGCTCATTTCCTTTAAAAATTAAAAAACAGTAAAAATTAAATCATACGCTAGATAAAACAAATAAGCGAAAGAAGTAAATTTATATAATTAATGATTGTATTTTAAAATAAAAAAGAAGGAACAAATAATAATAAAGAAAAAATGGGGATCCCAAAAGTATTTAGTAATTTTCTATGCCTTCATAATAATACTAACATTTATGGACACTTGTTGGTGACAGTTTTATTGTAGAACGTGGAGTGAGGTGTTACCGCGCGTTTAATCTAGTGTGGGGTCAACTCCACAAAGATCACCCTGTCCCGGACCAGAGGGTTCAACAAGCACCTCCGTGAAAGACCCGTCATAAGATGTCGATAAAAACTGTCCCTATATCAGTCCACCGCACTCCTCCGAAAACTGATCTGCATGTCAAATAGAAAAAAATGTTCTTTCTCTCTGGCGACTGATATGCATGTAGATCAGGCTATTTGTTTGTTATTTCGAAGGCATGTATGATAAAGCAAATTCTTCGTGTCTTTTCTAAATTGTTTGATGTGAAGATGGGGATCGGGACTACATGTATCTTTATAACGTCTACCTACAAATAAAGTTGGAACTTTAACTAGAAAATACATGTACAGTGTATTTTGAAAATAAAGTTATAATTTATCGAATTAATTTCAGCATAAATTTGATCTGAATGCCCCAAAATCAGAATGAAATAAATACACCTAACTGAATACCTGGTAGCTTTTTTAACATGATTTACTAAGATAATACCGAGCTCCTTGTGGGAGTTCGCTGTAATAATTTAGCTAGCCCAGTTTAGCTTATATATTGAGTGTGGCACTTTATCGCCAATACATTAAAAGTCTTACTGTACATAAATAAGTATGTGACGCACGGTCAAGCGGGTTATGGAAGGTTTATTTAACGGTCAAACGCATATACATATATATCCGGGCATACCGACATTGGGTAATTAATTTGTCGCTCGTTGTTCACTGCTTGTTGAGGCGACTCGGTCGTGCACCGTCGCGTGACCCCTGAGTGAGGCTTTTCCGGAAACATACACTGGCGAAGCTGGTCAGATTTTACTTTTGTTTGTGTACTTATGTAAAGACTTATGGAATTATAATTCATGTTTATTTTCATCAGGATTCTGGTAGGTAGAAAATTACACGAGAAACTGTATCATTCGCTGGTCAAATAATATTTTAAATGTTGTTGAAACAATTTCTGTTTGAATCTAGGCAGAATCCAATTTTTTTTAAAAGGTAAAAAATACTGTTCTGTATAGCTTTTAAGGTAATAAAATATCATAAGCAGATTTTATATATTTCTAGATGTTCCGTAATAATAAACGTACATTTACTTACATAAGATACTAACAAATTACATTATAAAAATTTGTAAAACGGTCTGTACAGCCTTAATGATTACTAAAACAAATATTTTTCACAAGTTCCTGCCCAACAAACCAGATTAAAAGTTTCACTCTGTTAACTCTGTTTAATTTATATTTACATATATATTGAAATTCCATGCAATAATTAACTTGAACAACTGGTAATTCTCAAAAATAAACAAATTTAACATGTAAGAAATGATTTTAATCCAAAATATCCCCGAATCTTAATTTCGTAAAATATTTGATTTTTAAAAATGAGAATTTTACTTAGGGTTAGGTTTTCGATTGAAATAAACCACATTACTTTGAGTATATTGTGTTGGAACAAAAAGGAGTTAGAATATTCCATACATAAGGTAGATATCATAAAGTATAATACTTCTGATCAATTGTATATTGTAATGCCTCGAAATGCTGTTTCAACACACTTTGTACATGTGAAGTATTGACTTTATCAACATGAGAAATGTATTCACACACCGTCTTGAAATAGTATCATGTTCTAAGCGAGATAACTCGTGTTTGTACACATGATAACTTGGTTGCAGGTGACAAGAGGAATGTTGAGTAGAGAACACGTTATTACTGCACTATAATCTGTGTTCCTTCGATCAATATATGGTGTAAAAATTGTCGAACTTTTTATTTATTTAAATCAAGATGCAAAATTATAGCGAGTACAGATTAGAAAAAAAAACCCATTTCTTATAATTACAATGATATAAGTACAAATTCGATGCTTGCTTGTAATTTATTTGTACTTAATTGTTTAATTTATTAAATGATTTTACCTAAACATTCCAATTTTTTTTAAAATTTCAGTTGAGGTTGAGCACTTTGACGTAGCATCGAAGTGTTGACTTGCAAGTAGCCAATATGCCTCCACCCAAAAAGCCTAAAAGTGGTCCCACATCAATAGAGCAATTCATGTCTACTGAGGAAATCCGAACACCAAGCGATGACGAGGATATGCGGGAGAGGACCGGATCCTGCTCATCAGACGTGTCCGTGATTTGCGAAAAAACGGAGAGTGACAAGGAATCGCAGATCTTCGAGGACGAGAAAAGTCCGTCTGGACTAAAACTGTTGAGAGACTTGATCACGAAGAAAGTGAACGATGAACAACGGGTTCCTGGGTCGTGTTCGAGTGGTAGAAGTTCATGTCAGAGTCTGTCTCCAAGCAACGAGTCGGAGGACGCTTCGCGTGAAAATTCTCGAGCTAGCACGACGGCCAGTCTCACGAGCGAGGAGCGAAAGAAACATCCCCCAAGCGCGTCCTCGCCAATTTCCCCAATGGCGGGAAGCGTGTTACCTCCTTTTGGAAACAGTGCAAATCCCCAAACTGCAGCTACATCGGTACGGGGAAGCGAGCGCTTAATTAACAGTATGGTGGCTTCGAGTTTCATGTCGGGAGCTTTTCCCACCAGCCCCACAACGACGTCCTACTCTGCCTATTTCCCCTCCTACTTGTACGGGCAATCCTTGCAAAGTTCATACTATCTCAACAACTTTGATTCGGAACCAAGAGATCTGTCTACCAAAATTCAGAAGGAAAATCAAAATCGCGAAAGACTTTTTGATCGAAGTTCCGTTGACTCACAAGTTCACAGGGATATTGAGCAGCGACTCTCCGCCCATTTTGGACTCGGGTCTTATGACTCCCTGACGGATCGTAAGGATTTGGATTCACGGAAGAATTTGGTTGGAATTCTGACGGAACCCAGATATAACCACTTACGGTTCCCAGTCAGTCCTGTGGACAGAGATGCTGCGTCGTTCCCGTTCTTTGTCAATGGATACGAGTCAAGGAGGTACGTTACAGCATGCTCACCTTAAATGTATTTATTACATTGGTACACTGATTGAGAGAAGAATATGTATTTTTAATGAATATGCATGAAGGAAGTTCTGTTTATTATTAAGATTGTCATTTTTAAATTGGAATTTCTAAATCTCTGTTTCCTTACACTAATTTATTCATCTTCGGTGATGATGTTAACACTTGCAATTTTGACCTATATGGGAATAACAAATTTTGCATTTAATTTTGATCATATATTCTGCTACTAGAAGTTATAGTTTGGAGTAGAAATATAAGATAACTTGATTCATCTGCAGTATTATAAAGGTTGAAGTTGTTAGATAAGTAGTTGGCCCACGTGGCGTAGTGGTTATAGCGCCTGCTCTACAGTCGCGAAGTAATGAGTTGATCCTTACGTCGCGGTTTCGAATCCCATTGTGGGAGACCGCGATCCTTCGCATGAGGCCATATGCTAGTATATAAACCGAGCCGAGGTCCCGTGTCGCAGTAGCTGCTGGCACGAAAAAAGTTCCCCCACTGCTGAATGGCTGTAAGTGCCGAGTAAGGGCAAGATTTGCAGTTCTCCACCTGCATGTGGTGGCGTCTCTATAGGAGTAAAAAATTATCGAGAGGGAGTCGCATGAACGTTAAAGCAATATGAGCTGCATCTTTGATGTAAGAATATTTTGTTGCAAAATTGTAAATAACTATTTCAAATGACAGAAAAAAAAACGCTAATAAACATTTGTTGTTCATATGTGCGATGGAAGTTCTATTTATAAGCTTCGAATGAATCAAAATTACATTATTGTCCTGTACAGTAATTATTTCTTATATAAAACTGTACATTGTACTGTATATAAAGTCTTTCTTCTGAGATCATAAAGGTTTAAGTTACACACAAAGTTATCATAATAACACTTTTTAACAGCAAAATAAAATTTTTACCAATGTAGCTCATATTGCTTTAAACAACTTACAAACAAACAAACAAACAAAAATCGCCATACAATCCAACATAAGAGATGAAAGAAGGAAAAGAAAGATAACTCTAATAATATACAGTATGTAGTATTTTCTTGACAGAACGATAAGATATAAGAGTTATCTATCTTGATCCTTGAAACCTTTTCATTTGGGACTTTGACGACCTTACACTTAATTTTTTCAGGAAAAGTAAATTATGAAAAAAAATGTAAATTAATAGATAAGATAAATGACTAAATATTGATTTCATCATTGATATGAATCAGTGTATAAATTCCGATCAAACTGTGCAAAGAAATATTAATATTCACATATAATACCCTGCCATGGTGCAGTATTTGGATAAATGCCGGTCTGACAAATCAAAATTTTATTGGTTTTGACGAATGCATGAAACATTGGAAATTAAATGTGTCAATTTCAAGACTTTTAAAATTCTTGGAGATTTTAATTTTGTTTTCCTGAAAATTATAAACATTCCTACATGTAACTAAAGACCTTTGGTAAAAAAAAATATGTTGCAATTCACTTTTTTTTTTAAAAAGCTTTTCCAATTACAAAATTTTATTTTAAAAGAGTTCAAGAATTTTAAATGCCCATGAAATCCATTATCTGTTTGGGGCTTAGCCTATCTAAACCCATGTCATGGTACTGCCCTGGACCCGCTTGGGGTTTGGTCGGCCCGAAACTCCATCGCCGTTCTAGCCCGCCCCCTCCTCCTGGAAAATTTGAACTGAAATTATCTGATTATGGGTGCTACAAAGAACAAGTTTTAATATTTTTATTAACCAGGTTAGATATAAGGATTTTATGCAGTACTATCTTATACGAGATGTACATTAAAAATGAAATTGGGAAAACGGTCATCATGTAGGCTTTGTACATATAACTAATCTATATGTATATAGAGCTCAGTTATATATTAAAGACTCTGGACCACATTTAATTTTATTAAATCTTTTTCTATTCTATATAAAGCTTTTATTAATTGTTTAAAATGAAGTATTTTCATTTTGATTAAAAAATATGTGTTTAAAAGCAGACGCGCTTTGGTCGACGAGACGTCCATTTAAACCGCTGGTTTATGAAGGCCACTGCGTGTATAATGTTTGACCATCGGTCGAAAAGTGCACATGTGTTATTCAGGTCATGCGGGCGGCTAGTCAGCGGTCAGCTAGGTGGCTGTGTATATCGATCAGACATTAGATGAACAAATGAGTGAATTATGGGCCGGGTAGGGCGAGGGAGAAAACCGCATTTGAACCCTCTCGAATAGTAGTCCTAGTAACCTCAGGAAAAAAGTACCTTTTGATGTAACCAACACAGCTCACCAATGTCGTATCTCAGGGATTTTTTACTGTTTCACGTTTCAATGTCTTTGTGTGTTTCAATGGTGCTATGGAGGCAAAATACCACGATCAACAATTTGAGGATGCTTTGAACGTTATACAAGACTTATCGGACCCCGGTGGCACTGTTTATAGGATACTCAGGGAATCGGCGGGGAACAGCGCGACTATGTCTGGGTACGTTCACCTGTTACCAGTCGGTAATAGGATTATTGTACAAGGCGCGGATCTAAGAATTTTGATGGAGTTAGGACTGAAGTTATATTACCTTAATTTATGGGATCAAAGTGAAATTGAATGAAAAAAGACGTGAATGTTTGCGTGTATGATTTTTTAGAGGTTGAAGCGAATAATACCGCGGTAGTGATGGGGTGTGTGTGTTGGGTGTGATATTAAGTTATTTATATATTATCAAAGCAGCAAAGTGCATTGTAAGCTATATGGACATAGCACTGAACCTATTTTAAACATGCATCAAAATTCCAATTTTAATTTAAAGATTAATTCAGTTCTTAAATTTTGTTACGTTTGCAACAACCTTGTAATTAAAGTTCCAATCTAAAACAGTTAAAAGCATGAAGCATAAAATGATTGTTAAGAATTGCCAAACAATATATAAAGAAAGTTCAGTTTCCTCCCCCTTAAAAACAGGAAAAGAAGTTCTATTAACTTTCACAAATCAGTTCTCTTTCTTTTCTGCCTTTCCTTTACATCATACTCAGCATAAGTGACAGAAACAGGTCTCTTAACATCAGGTGAATTAAAATCTAAATACTCCATGCTCTGGATTTAATTGTCAGGGATATAACATATTTTTTAAAGTAGGGGGTATTTGAGAAAAGAAAATGATAAAACTTGAGAAACAAAAATAAATAAATAATTTAATCAATAGAAAATAAATAAAATTAATTAAAAAAGGAAAATTGAAAAATGTCCAAACTTTAACGACCAATTTTTCATGGGTGGGGGGGGGGGGGCAAATTTTATTCATAAACTACTACTGAACCCTATATACTGCAATGAAAGATAAGGGTCAAACGGCCTTTCAATGAGCATTTCTGATTTGAAAGTTATATTTGGAAAGGGGGCGGGGCTGTTGCTACATGTCTGATTGTTTTTTTAAATGAATTAAAAAAAAAATACAATATTATCTTATATAATACGATCTGTGGGAAATTATAGAAAGGAATATCTTATGTGTATATGTGTTGGTGAATTATAAACCATGTATCGATCTTAAGCTTCATTTATATTCTGATAAAAGAGGTTACTCGATAACAGCTTAATGACATGAATGATTTTTTTTCCTTGAACAAAGAAATTGTAACATTGAAATGACTTTTTTCCAATTAAGTCCCAAGTTATGCTTTTTTTTTTTTTTTTTTTTTTTTTTATTATGAAATAGATTTCCTTTAAAAAATGAGTTGCTTCATTTTACATTTGCATAGCAAATGTTGTCATGGTAAATTAACTAGTATTTAATAATTTTAATTCAAAACTTTTTTTTTTGTATATATGTTTTTAAATTTTATTTAGTTTACCTTGGTGGCATTTGAAGATTATTAATATATTTAAATTATTAAATAATTTCAATTAAAAAAAATATTAAAATGATATAAAGAAAAAATACAAATTCAAAAGTTATAAGAAAGATATTGAGAAATTAACTGTGAAACAATTTGTTTTCTAAAAGTGAAAAAATGCCCATTACATGTATTTAAGCTCAAAAGTGGCTTTGAATTAAATCTTCACTTTAAAATTAAAAAAAAATTATCTGTAGAGATGTTTGATAATGGAAGGCTCAAAAAAGCATTTGATTGCACATGTAATATATGGCTTCCTTGTACAGGGGACAACTTCACAATAAGCTCCGATCAGTGGGAAAAACTCTCTCTCATCATCCAAAGGTCGAAATGACCCAGCGAAGAAAAGCAATTTTACAGAATTTGCATGCTACACATGCTCCACACTGGTCACTGACTGAATGACCCCATCCCGTAATCATCATCGCCATGGTAACACATTAAGAAATATGGCTCAAATTTTTCTATCAATTACAAACACAAAGCACAGTTGTTGCAAGGCTGAATTTGAACTGATTGGCTGTTCTGATGGGTTTTGACATCTCTTGCTGGTAGTTTATGAGCAGATTAAAGACTTTGATGACCCCAGGGTTGAAAACATGCGAGTCAAGTCAGAACACACTAAAGAGATTGAATGTCACTCATTATTACGATTTATGGCTGGGAAACCTACAGTGCATTTTTATTTAAATGGCTGCAATGTGTTAAATTGGGCATTCTTTGTGATTATGTTGATGTTACTGGGGTGCTAGTCCATTATCCTCCCTGTTGCATAATGATAGGGCTACCGTTTGAAGTAGGTGCAGTTGATGGATAAAACTGCCAAAAAGTTGCACAGAAGCCAGCATGACTTGATAAAAATACAAAAATATAATTGATGGCATGGAGGGGGATATGTTAGCATCAGAAGGCATATAGTGCAATTCTAAGATAAAAAGACAGACAGTGAGAAAGAGAGAGTGAGAATTTTAGAGAGATAATTTAGATGATACTAATTAACAGCCAATTAATTAAACTAATATTTTATGTGTAATTGCAGAGAGTCCATCGAAAAACTGGTTCCTAAGGAGGAGCATGGATCCCACCACTCTCCCAGCATGGTACCCCAGGGCAGTTTTCTGTCCATGCCCTACATGATGCATAATCAAGTCCCCTCCTCCACCACCCTGGAGTTCCGCGATCATGACGGGCGGATTCTCCCCCTATTAGACCCCTCTCTCTCATTCGCAGATGGAAGAAAACTAAAGCATAGTGCTGTTACAGGTACACACATAATTATAAAAATGGCTTATTTGGGTAATATTCAGATTTCTTTGTCTGTAAATTTAATCTTCATCACTTATAAACTATTAATTTTTGGTAGGTATATCAAAAAGAAAGCTTGATATTTAGTTACAGTGTCAAAAAGTTAACTCTAATTCATGAAATGACATGTATTTGACATATTGACTATGTTCAAGATTCATCATACCAATCATACCAATCAATTTCATGAAATACCAGAAGCATGTAGTTCCATCATGTTTTAGTTATAGACAAATGATCCAATTTGGTGACAATTCTAGTGTAGGTCTTCCAATTAGTTACAGCCCCTGCTATGTCTTACATAAGCGTTAATGTTGGTCTGAACCAATGTCTGACTGACTTTTAGTAATAATCAATAATTGTGGTCCCCACAGACATGAAGACTCTCCCAGGACCAGACTGACACATCAACTTGACCTACATATTATAGATTTATAGGCATGTTCAGTATTGGTAATTAAACAATATCTCAATTCATCGCTCACTGTGTTCCAATATCTAGGTCATGGACCAAACAAGCTATGCCAGGTGTGCAGTGATAATGCCTCGGGGTTCCACTATGGGGTGTGGTCCTGTGAGGGATGCAAAGCCTTCTTCAAAAGAAGCATACAAGGTAAGACTTACCTAAATGAAAATCAGAGATAATTAAGACAGTTATGCATAATTAAGTGTTTAAAATAATCAGATAAGTATAGTCAAAATTCATTATCTTGAACTTGATGGGACTGTCGAGACTCTGTCGAGATATCTGAGGACTCAAGATATCCAGGATCAAATACTCAAATTATGGCCTGGAACTGAAAAATCACTTCAAGATATCTGTGGTGTTTGAGATATCAAGGCTTTCAAATATCCAAGCTCAACTGTATGTGTGCATTAGGAGAAAAGTGATGCAGTGCACAATTTATTGTCCCTCATAATGCTATCAAAGATGCAGGTGCAGCCTTAAGAGATTGCAGGGAGCATACTTCTGGTGACTTGAATCCATTACTACTAATTCTAACACAAGCAGTTCCAGACAAACTGGTGTGCCCCTGTCACATGATGTACTTTTACAATTTTATGGCATTCATGACATTGATGTCTAAAATGTAAATAAGCAATCGTCCTTGACAACATCCAACCAGACAGATGCAAGCATTAATTGAATAGAAAATTCCCATACATTGTATGCGGTTTTTTTTGTAACACACAAAAAAAAATCATTTTCTCTTGAAAACACGTACAGCATAATAATTTTTTTCTTGAAATTCTTAACTTGAACCAATTAAACTTTGTCAATATTATTTTCTCATATCATTGCTTGTGATTTATTTGTTTAATCCTATAATAATCAACACACATTGTGTCCCTTGTGAATGTAAATTGTAGGAGAAATTGATTTTGCACCCTATATTGAAGCCAATAGATTGAACATGATTATCTAAATTTCATGTGGATAAAGTAATTTTTTTTCTATAAATGCAATCAGTCTGTTCTATTTTAATAAAACCTGTCTACACACTGTTGTTGGGTTTTACAATTTGTGGTTTTCCAGCTTTAAACAGACATCAGCATGGTGCAAGTCAATGTCCTCTTTAAATTAAAAAATTTGCAAAGATGTTAGAGACTCAGGTGCATACGAATTAGGAAAGGAAATTTGTGGCGGGGGTGGGTGGGGGGTCTAATTGTCTGATAGTTATAAGCTCCAGGATACATGCATATACAGTTGTCAGATTTTATCATCATATTTATTAAATAATTTATTTGATAATTATTTTCTAGCCGTTGTCCTAGATATATTACAATTCACATTTTTCAGTTTAAAAATTAATGGAACTTTGACATTCAAATACCAACCACGCTCATCATGATCTTGATATTAATTTCAATAATTTGTTTTTTATTATAGCTTTTTATAATCTGAATGCATAAAAAAGTGGATGTTAGATTTAATCATTTTTATATTTGATAAGAATTCTGGGTGAACAAGTACACAATTAATATTTCTTGGAGAGAGCGTACATCAAAGACATATATGATTTACCAGTCCGCATATATAAAGACCATTCCATTTTTAGCCAGGGCTTAAGTGATTGGGCAACATACTTCCACGCTTTGTAATCCAGGTCATTTGGGACAATAAATTGTACAGAGCTTGTGATTTATCTGATAGTGTAAAAAAAAGTCTTTCCATTATTTTTTGCCAATAATGGATTTTGTAGCTTGTAAAATGGTGCAGGCTTTTATGATAATCTTAAAGGATATGGGCTTACAAACAGTAAAATATAGGGCAATGTGTTGTGTAATTTGTAATTGATGTGCCTTTCTGAGATAAACTGTGACAGACAGGGCCATAATAGACTCTCTTTGTTGCACTGCACTTGACTGCCCTGCGGCCGCCCAAACCAAGTTACTAATTTGGAGCTTATTTTTGCACTGTGCTGTATTTTCAAAACTATAAGCCACGGAAGTGAAGATTGTGTTTGTTTATTCATTCAGGATCTGCATTTCCTGTTTTAGATGTAAACAAAATATTTCACGGTGTACAGGATTTAGATATGTATTGTTTTCTGTAACCCTAAAGGTATGCATACAAATTCAATGTTCATTCTGACTTTTTTCTGTACTGCAGATCTTCACTTTTAAAATCTTATTTGCATTGAACTTTTAAAATTATTCCAATTAATTTAATGTTATGTAAGTAACATATATGAACATGATGAACTCAAGGTATTTATCCCATGTCTATAGGTTTCTAGGTGTTATTTTTGTAACATGCATGTTACTGTGTCCTTCAATTCAATTGACTTTAAAAAAAATATGAGAAAACATTTTTAAATTTTCTTTTTTTTTGAAAGATAAGGGAGGAAAAAAAGTGAATTGCACAAGTGACCTAGATAGATAAAGGTCAAAGACCCAGGATATGTGATTCTTTACATGAATTCGACCCACAAATGTTTTTTTAGTTCGCATTTATAGTTTGATCATCACAATTAGTTGTAGTTCAGATTGGAATATTGAAAGTGCAGTTTTTAGGAAGGAGTGGCAATAGGAAATGAGAATTAACTTTTAACATATCCCAGGACAACTGCGTGAGACAGGCGAAATTATCCGCAAGAGGGTTATTGATTCGTGTGATAATTTTAGACTGATTTAGGTCTTCCTCCACAATATTGATAAAATTATTAAAAATTCAGGTTTGTGTAATGCTTTCTCCGCAGAATGGACTGAAAGTTGTATTACAAGGGAGTGCTTAGTTTTCACATGAGTGTGGATTAATTTTTTTTTTATTATTTCTTTTCATGTAAATGTGACAGAAATTAATATGTAACAGTCTGGGTACATGGTAATTATAACATTTACATCAATAAGATGGTGCAAGGACATTAACGAACAAATTGCACTTAATGCAGTATTATTCTACTCTGTGAACCTAGACTGCACCGAAAAGCTACTGGTTCAAATTATTCAACATTTAACTGTTGACCTCAGGGGTCAAGTTATGGATATAATCACAAAGGCATTCATCTCCATACCACCCTCGGTCTTTTGAACTCTGGGTGCAGTTTGTTAGTGATGCACTAGGGAGCTGATACAAAGAGACTTTTCTCTAGTGCTAGGCACCTTATTTATGTGCATCAAGAATAACAGGTGAATTTTCACCTAGAAAGTGCAGTCAACAATTTACTGATTTGTCAGTGTTTCAATTAAATACAAGAATTTGACTCTGTATTTTTTGATCATCTTTTTACAAGATTCTTTGTCTAATGAAATATTCATGTATGACAGATCTCGATTGAGTCAGACATCAAGATTGCTTCATTATTAATTTGTAATTTGTGATATATTTTGCGTATTTTTCTTCAGGGCCAGTCGATTATGTATGCCCAGCTACCAATACCTGCACTATAGACAAACATCGTCGAAAATCCTGTCAGGCATGCAGATTACGCAAGTGCTATGAAGTGGGAATGAATAAAGGTAAGTTTATAGAGAAAAATCTTAAATTTGGAATTTGTTCTTTTTTAGGCTATTAATTATTTTTTGTGTCAGAGTATATGAGGTATGCAGGGGAAGGTTTACAAGTTTTGATAGCAGTTTCTGCCTCTTTGAATCTCACTGTGAAGGGTACCCCCAGTCCTGGGGGCCAGGGAATTTCCTTGCCTATAATGTCGACATAATCCCTTGGTTATTCTGGTATTCTCCCTAAACCTCCTAATAAGAGAGGAACCCCAAACCCCATTTTACTTTTTAATGTCCCCTGCTATTCAAATGCATAGAGTCCAACCCTGCAAAGTAAAAACAAATATTCACTGAGAACAAACACTTAGTTACAAACCAATATTTGATGTATTTCATTTCGCTCTTTAATTAATAATAACTACAAGTGCCTTTTTCTTAGAATGTCATTACAGAGGCTTTTTGATTTGTTGCATGCAAGGTGGCTTATTACAATGTACTAATTTTCTTTTCCTTCTAAGAATAGCTGCCAGTCTGTGGTCATTGCAAATGAGAAATCATGAATTAAGTGTTCTAAATCTGGTTTATATGAATAGTGAGTCTAGCCAAAGGCCAGACATTAGTAAAATCAATGACCAAATTGTCTCCTTTGCAACACCAAGTAATGTAATACTTGATTAGTTGAAAGGAAAGTGCTCTATTATAGAGGTCCTGGACTGATCTAGCAGTTCTACTGATTCATAATTACTGGTTATTGAATGCTGATTGATGTACCTATATCAATGTAATTCACTTGGAGTTTATTTTTTCTTCTAACAAGTTTTTGTATTGGTTTTGGATCTCTTTCTACCACAGATTGCCTGAAAAAGAAATTTTCACCACATTTTATTAAAAGACAAACAACCTGACAGCTAGTTTATAGTTTTCAGAAAATATCATATAAAAAAATCTTAAAATTTCAAAATAACAGTTTTAGGAACAATTAATTTGCCAAAAAAAAAAAAGATAATTGCATAAAGGTAAAATTGCAGGTCATTGATTTTCAATAAATGCTTTGGTTAAAAAAATTTATAGTCCCGTCCAATAATTACAGAATCTCTTGTCTAATGGGAATTGGTGTTTTAATAAGCATTTATCCTGTTGGATGGCTAATAATGTGTGATTAACATTTATTGTTGTATCAGTGGGACTGGATTGACAAGATAGATCATATTCCTGTAGGAAGATGTGGGTTGCTAATGTGTTTCATAATTATAAACAACTGGGTCAAGGTCACATGTGTCTCAAAAAAATCTGTAATGCGCGTCTTGTTGTCTCAGCTTTTTCAAAAACTTTTACTTTTTTCCTCTAAAGTCCTAGAAATTAATTAATAGCCCCGGTATCTATGGCTAAGCAATAAAGAGATCATTAAGCTGTATAAGAAAATATATTTATGCCTTTTTTGATTATTGGGGTACCAAAGACAAGAGGTAATAAATTTTGAGTTGATGATGATTGATTGAACTTTTCTGTAAGACCATTAAAAATTTAATTTTTGTAGAACATGCTAAATGACTTTTTTTTATTACAACTCGTGATGAAAAACATTTTTTTGGTACTTAGGAAGGGAGGAAGGGAATTAGGGCTCAATTTTTGTGCAATAAACTTTCCAAGTATGTTATTCTGGATCTAATAATTATAAAATATCAAATAAACATTGAACTTGGTTTAAATATGTGGCATATTCAACTGGGATAACAAATGTGCTCATCCGAATGATATATTAGGTCAGATCTGATATGTAGATCAATTTAAGGCTATCAAAAAAAGGATCTGTACTTTTAGAGGCAAAACATCACATTTCTGAATTAATAGCTCAGTAAGTCCCATATTAATTATTTTACATGAGACATGAAAGGAAAACTTTTTTGGTTTGCATCCTGGATCTAGTTCATAACTTCAAAGAGAAAAATCTACATGACTTATATAATATTATAGTATTTTACCCTTGGTAATACTCATAATGCGTTTAACTGTGTTGTATATAAAAGTGATGTGTACTCAGTGTCAAGTTTCCGCATGCTGAGTATTCAGCTGTGCAAAATTTCGAAAAAAAAATATATATATAAAAAAAAAGTTGGTCAATAGTCAGGTTTACAAAGTACAAAGCCATCACAGATTTGCGGAACAGATAACTCAGTTGTAAGGTGAGAAATGTCAACACCACTTTTTTTTGGTGCAAAGTCTGCAAATTTGCATTGATGCAACTCCCCGAGTGGTTTAAAACTGGCAAGCAATCTGTTCTGTTATATAGTGTAAAAGTGTGTTAAAAGTGACTTCATTAGGAATAGTTGACGATGGTTTTGGGAAACTAAGAGACAGGTTTCCATTGCAGCCTGGTGTGAACTTTGTTTCCTTATAGATGTATACAATTCATATATACATTTGAAGGATCTTCTGATAACTGTTTATCATGTTCTTTTTTGTACATGTAATATGATTTGATATTTCCTTCCAATATTTTGAAAGTTAACCTTTTGTCAACGAAAAAAGATTTTTTTAAAAATGTCAGCAATTGATCATATTCAGTTTTTTTTTAAAGATTAAATGGAAATCCCTAATTAACTTTTGTTTGAAACAAAGTTATATAACTTCAAAAATTTTTGCATTAATATTGATTTGCACTGATATAGTAGGCAGAGTTATAAGATCTAACTAAATATTATCTTTACAGGGAGTCAGAGAAAGGAGAGGAAAGGTAGCATTTCTATGTCCAAACCAACGGCCACCAAACGGAGTCGTGCAGACTCGTCCGACAACACGGTCAATTCTACCAGCGGCAGCCCCAACCCAGCAAAGGTAAGAGCTACCTTGGAGGTTTGAAGGCTTATCTGATCAGATCAAAGATAGTAATTTCAAATACATTTTATAACCAAAGTATTGTTTAAATAAGATAAGTCAACCTTTTCTTCAGTATAGGGAAATGTAATTATACATGAAGCTCATTTATGATAAAAATTTCGATCCTTATCAATTTTACAAAATAAGTGAAAAGTTTTCAAGTTAAATAACTAATTTATTTTGGAAATTTAATAAGAAATCATCTCTGCAGATATATGCAGAAATGAAGTGCTTCCATGTTTTTGTTTTTTAAAATTTTTGACAAGGCTAAAACTTTCCTTAGGAACAGTTCTATTTTCTTTTTAACAGTCAGCTAGGAAGTCCCAGACTGTGATCATACTTCAGGCCTTGAACAAGGCGGCGCTGCCAGTCCTGGAGAGCCACCACAACCATGGTCAGCCGCCCACCAAGGTCCACCTCCTCAACTCACTGGTCAAGCTGGCAGAGAGGGAGTTAGTGCACCTTATCAACTGGGCCAAAAATGTCCCTGGTAAGAACTGCTTCTTTTTTAACTGGGCTAAAAATATCCCATCTTTCAACTGGGAGAAAATACACCAAATTTTTAAGCAGGCAACTAGTACTTGAAATTCTTTTCAACTTGGCTAAAGATGTCCCTAATTAATGAGCAGCACATCTTTTCAACTGGGCCAAAAAGTCTAAAGTAAGCAGTAAACATCCTTTCAAATGGACTAAAAAAAATGTCCCTTATAAGTGAGCAGTACATCTTTTCAACTGGGCTAAAAATGTCTACAGTAAGCTGTAAACACCCTTTCAACTGGGCTAGAAAATGTCCCTGGCCATGCAGTGGTAAGCAGTATATTTTCTCAACTGGGCTGCAAATGTCCTAGATAACCGGACTGTGAAATGCATTCAGAGTGATTCAGCTGATAGGTGCTTTGCACTGTAATACTGAAGTCCCTAAATAACTTATGTAAATGTTCATTAGGGCCCCGCAAGGATTTGCGGGTGCCCTATAGTAATCACTCTGTCTGTCCGTCTGTCTGTCTGTCTGTCTGTCTGTCCGTCTGTCCGTCTGTCACTCTTCCGTCCACAAATTTTCTGTTTTTTTCTAATAACTTTTTTTATGGTTGCCCAATCAAGTTCAAATTTGGAATGGTAGTTCAAGGCAAAAATACATATTTTGATGCTAAGTTTAGTTCTCTATGTCTTCTGGTTTGGAGTAGAAACTATGCATAAGAATGAATGGGCAACTTTTTTATGGTTGCTCAATCAAGTACAAATTTGGTATGGTAGTTCAGTAGGCAGAAATACATATTTTGGAGCTAAGTTTGTTTCTCTATGTCACCTAGTTTAGAGCTGGGGTGGTGGGGTAGATTCCTTAACTTTATATAAGAATGCATTGGCAAAGAGAGATAACTGCTGAAGATGTTCCCATTGTAAACTGAATGCTGCTATGAGTCCCTTGGGATTAATTAGCTTTCCTCCTGAAGAAAATCCAGAGCATTATCTTTATCTGTCACATTGAGATGAATTACCACCTCTGTCTGCAAATGAAGTTTGTTTTGAAGTTAAGTCAATTTGGAATGCTATGAACACTCTGAAATGTGGATTTAAATATAAATTTTCATAATTTATTTTTGCTTAATAGTTATGATTTTATTGAATTCTAAAAACAAGAAATAGATTAAAGAAGATTTTTTGATTTACTTTTTTTCACTTTATGTAAATTCAAGAATATTATTAATTTTTAAGGTAGTTGTATAAAAACCCCATTCTATCATTAATACTGAAAAAAGTTCTTATTGTAACTTTAGAAGAAAATGATGAGAGAGGTACAATTAATCCCTTGGGATTAATTATCTAGCCTGCTGCAAAAAATTGAGTAGGCTTTTCTTTATCTGTCACTTTAAGATTAATGAAAACCTTTGTCTGCAACTGCTGTTTGTTCAAAGTTAAGGTCAAGCCTTCATGATATTTGCATTCATTGAAGGCTGGATTTTATATAACACAAGCTTCATAATTGTTTAAATATACATTCAATGTTAAGTCGTTCTTTACTGCCTAATGTAAGTACAAGAATATTATTTTCAGATTTTTGAATGTTCAGGAATTATCTTGAAATTTTAAGAATACAGTTGCTGTTGCTTATTCTTCGTACATTTTTTAATCATTCCGTAGGCTGCACCCTTTTAATTTTACCCCATGGCGGGGCCCTTGCTGACTGGTCAGTTTTCTAGTTTATGTAAGCTTGGTGGCAAAATTTATATCTAGAGAAAATCTGATAGAAAATGAGTTCAGAAATATTCATCAGTTAGTCAGCTAAATCTTAATGTAGATCTGATTTTAATTGCATCAATGCATATTGTACTAGGAGTCAAAAAAGTAGAAGAATGACCAATATATTAATATTAGGTGAAAATATTATTTTATGTTAAGTGTTGATTCAAAAGCTAATGCTATTTTACAAAAGACAAGTAATTCATGCATTATTTCATACTGATGTGAAATTTGGAGAATAAATCTCTCTGGCTTACTATGTAATCTTGCAATATGTTTTCCCCTGTTAATTGCCGCAATTTAAAAACCCTATCTGAATTCAGTAAACTGAAATTTCACCAAAGTAATTGTTTTTAAAAAGGAGCATGATTCGACCTGCATAGGAGTTTTATGGCATTGTTTATCTCAACCTTAAAATGTTACTGAAATCATGCAATTTTAATATCGACAGAAATTCAAACAATAAAAAGTGTAAATTGGTTTATCAAACAAAACTCCTGTTTGTATTAAAACAGAGATGATAAAAGAATATTGATGCAGAGTTTCATAAAATTGTATTTTAATGATACAAAAACAGTGTTGAAAAAGGGGAGAAAATAATTTGGATCAAAGTTGAAGAGAGTCAAAACATTAAGTTTTGCATAACTTAACATGAAAATTGTGTGTGGAGAAAATAAACAGAAAGCGGTCACAATCCTCAGGGTACATAATAAATTCAAACAGCTGAACACGATATATGCTGGTAATGGCTTTTTTTTTTCTTTCCAAGAATCGCACATCTCTCAAATCTTGTGTGATCTACAACTAGGATTTTATATATAAAAATTGTCTGATAATCATCAAACACCTAATGAAAGTGAACCAGAAACAATTTTAGCGTATTATGCCCTCAATCGGGAATTCAGCTGTGTCAAAATTGCAGTTAAATATGCATTTAGATCAAGGTGGAGTCTGGGTTAAAAAAAGGAAAGAGGAACATAAACACAGTGATATTTGTTTGTCTTTGGCTTTCTAGATATAGATCGATTGTCTTTAGGTCGTTAGATATAGACTATACTCCCAATCATTGACATCCCGCCAAAGGCGATTAATTTGCAATATATTGCGTAACATCTTGGGGAAAATATACAGGGAAAACTAATCACCATTAAGTTGAATTGAGCATCAAAGTTTCATAAGTGTTGCAGACATCTTTTGTTCTATACGTACCATCAATATGATAGATGGTTTAATTTATAATGGAATGGAAGACGTTCACTGAAAATAGTCAATATAATTAAGCTCAGTGGAGAGAGAGAGGAAAAAAATACATGTTCACAATGAAATTGTTACCCATCTAGCAAATGATTAATTACAACAGGCAATCTAAAACACTTCAAATTGACACAAATAGTATCAGAGCTACGTATCAGGAAATTCTAGCTGATTTTAATCAGCGATTATGATGACACTGGTGTATAAATGAGAAGGCCTTATTTGTGAACTAATTTGATAAGTTGTTGCATTGTAGTCATGCACTGGTGCTTGATATAATGTTAGAAAACTCCCAGTAGTCATGAAAGATGCAAAGACAATCGTTAAAATGTTTATTATGTAACATCTCTTTTGTACCTTATCAAGTTTACACTTGACTTCCGATAAGGGATGTTTTAAGACTAAAAGATATTTGGCATTTCCATTATAATCACAAGGGAGTTAAATTAAAAAAAAGTAGATCAGAGATGCCATAAAATTATTCTTCAGTGAAAGGAAGTCACTGCATTTAAAACTCGGTCACTAATTCGTTTTTTTATGAAATGACTACAGATTCTGCAATTTTATTAAGTATGCATGCTGATTCATCACTTTGTGTTAATTAAGTTATATATGAAGAATAAAATAAAATCAATATACTTTAAATTTTATAAGTCAGTTAACAGATTCATACATGTACACTAAAAGCAACAATAAACAGTAAAATAAAAAAAAAATAGTATAACCAGAATTAATTGCTTACAGGAAGTCAAGAACCATGGTCCTAAGTGCAGGAAAATCAAATATTAATGACAAGTTGTTTCCATTGCAGTTTGTGATTTGTTAATTATGATGTGACCATTAGGATGACCACAGTTTTGTTATTTCTTTTTCTAGGTTACACAGATCTATCTTTGAGTGACCAGGTCCATTTGATTGAATGCTGTTGGATGGAACTCCTCCTATTGAACTGTGCATTTAGATCTATTGAACATGGGGGCAAAAGTCTGGCCTTTGCCCCTGACCTTGTGCTAGACAGGTAATGACACCATTTTTGTCAATATGCTATCAGTCTTTCTCATCAAGTAAGTGGGTGTGGGTGGTGTTTATTTTTCTTTTTCTGAGAAGTCAATTGGAAGGAAAATGGAGTTCTGAACTAATAGTTTCTTTCTTTCATTATTACTTCTTGTGTTATTTTCATACTTGTTGCACAATAATGCATGACTTCTTGTCATGTTTTTGGCCTATTTACTGTATATTAAAAACATATTTTTTCAACATCTAATATGGTATATTTAAATGTCAGAATGGGTTTAGATTAGCATTTGACATGAAAATAAACCCCATTTCTGCACATAATTGGCTGAAGAAGAAATTTGACTTTGGGTTCATGTACAAATGTTGATGTTATCATGTTAACCAATATTTTATAAATTATGAATAGGTCATCTTGGAGTACCATAGAAATGGCGGAGATCTTTGAACAAGTGGCAGCGGTTTCTGAACAGATGATGCAAAACCACCTACACAAAGATGAACTTCTCCTGTTACAGGCCATGGTTCTTGTTAACGCAGGTAATTAAAAAATAACTTCATTAACAACCTAATATAACCCACTTCTTAATGACTGGATGCCTTTACAGCCAAAAATGAAAACGTCTAGGTCAAGTTAGTATTAGACCCAATATTATTAAAATTAGATGTTCCGAATCGACTACAGCTTTGAAAGGCAGTAGTGAATTCGGAACATCTACCCTGGTAATTTTAATTAGATTGAATTAGACCAAATATGTTCACTGTAAGCAGTAAAACACTAAACCATGTTGGCTATACATTTTTATGGGTATGCTGGTATTTAATTGACTGGATGCTCTCTTAAAATTGTGTAAAAGCAGAAATTTTATGTGAATAAGGCCATTCATAGACTAGAGTAGTAGATGTGAAAAGGTCAGTACGTTTATATTTGACTTCTTCACAGTTGTAAATTCATCCCATTCAAAAAAATAAAGGATGTAATTGAAGTCAAAGGTTTCCTGGACTTCTGATGTTAGTTAAGTACAAATGTCTAATAAGAATTACACTTAAACCTAAATTAGCTGTTAAAAGTAATGGTTCTTGATTACAAGTATCATGGAGAAGTCCCATCTGTTAAAATAATTTGATAAAGAACTGTAAACTTTATCTGAAAATCAATGAATTGAAATTTTTTACGCCCACACATTTCATGCATGTGGTTACTGCTGATGAATGTATAATTCTATACCGAACATGTTTGACAAAACTGCTGGAAAAAGTTGGAAACAGATACGAGGAAATTCAGAGAATTGTGTGCTAATCCAGATAAACAGCATGAGGTCATGTAACAGCTTGTTTATTATCAAAGATAAAATGAAATAACCAGCAAGTTTGTTGACTCCTATGCAGCAGATGTTTACAAAAGTTACAATTTTTATTCTTCTCAGTCCCAGTATCAATCAATATATTAGCTGTCATTGAAATATGAAAATCAATGGCTGTATTTGATTTTTCAGCTCATTAACGCTCATTTAAATTGCTGTCATTTTGCCAAAGATGTGTAATTAGTAAACAAGCTTTTAAGACTTGTAAATGCCATATCTGTACCCACCAGCTTGCAAAGTATACTAGGTTTCATATTAAAAATTGTCTTATTTTGTAAGGTTTTCTGATAGACGTACCCATTAGTGTTTTGAAGAGAGATTAGAAATTTATTATATTTATATACATGTATAAGTATTTTGTCTTTGTTGACATTACCGTAATTTCAATTTTCTTTAAAGCTTTATACATGTGTAGCAAATACATGTATATTTTTTCTTGGCTATCAAGCTTTGAAGGTGTAAGTAATATACATTGTATATTAAGGATGTGTTTGACATAAAGATGACTGACTGTGATAATATTATACATTGTAGAAGTACGCCGACTGGCCAGCTGTAACCAGATTTACAATATGCAACAGGCTCTGCTTGATGCCATAGTGGACACTGCACAGAAATATCACCCAGACAATGTACGACATGTACCCTCTGTTCTCTTATTATTGACACATATACGGCAGGCAGGGGAGCGGGGGATCGCATACTTTCAGAGACTCAAGTCCGAGGGAATTGTAACTTTTTGTGATTTGTTGAAAGAAATGTTAGATGCACAGGACTTCTTGGAGAAGAAATCTTCAAATGAAGGAGATTGAAAAAGTATATATATATGTTTTGTCTCAGTCACCATGGTGATCCTGTAACTATAGTGATATACCTAACTTTTTGGCAGATGCAATTTTGAATATTTATGTAGAGAGAGGAGGAGAAAATAAGATTGAAAAAAATTATGCACAGACTTAAGAAACGATACATAAGAAAAACCTTATGAGGTTTGTATATGGATGCTACAAAATGAATTTATTGTGTAATTAATGAGCTCCAATTGTTGTCACTGTGTTACTGTATCAATTATGAATGTTTATCCCATTTTTTTGGACACATTTTCCCCTCTCTTGTTACTAAGATTCAGAATGGTTTCTACACGTCTGTCATTGTCAGGTATTAGATGTTTGAGCAGCTATCCGGTCTGTTGAGGATGTTTTACATTATATTATACCAGCTCACATACTGCTTGTGAAGATATATACATAGGTGTACATGTATGTTGCTCTTTGAACAAAGAAGTATTATGTTAAACTATTGCGAGTTCTTGTTTCGATCATAACACGAGTGAGACACCATATTGTTAATGTTTGCATTTTATCATTTTCATCGTATCAACCTAAACATTACATGTATATATATTATGTGCATCCATTTTTTTTTTTAATTAGAACTTCAGCAAGTGGATTTTATGTTAACTAGTTGTCTTTTTTTTTTTTTTTTAAAAAGCTGGAAATAGAAGTCCAGCTCTAAACTTTTTTTTTTCTTAGATTGTACATTATGTATCAAGGGAAGAACAAATTGTTATTTATCAACAGTGCTTTCTGTAGCAGCTTAAAGCTGCAAGTGAAAAAGAAATTCAAATGTCAAACGGGGGACATTTTGGAGAGATGGAACAATTACCTTTACACACAAAATACATGTACTTGTCGATTTTTTACGACATCCTTATAGAGAGTTTGTGATTGTTGTGTAGAGTTGTCTTCTTCCGTTAAGCTATATCTGCTTTATGTATAATAACCTTTTTGTACATAGTACACATGTATGTGTTCACCTGGCTACATTTAAAATGGAGAAAAAAGCACTGAGTAGTAGTAGCTATAAAAAAAAAATATTTTGAAGTGAAATTACTTTAATGTCATTCATTAAGTGAGTGTGCAAAAAATTTTTGATTGATTCTCGGATCAAGAGATCAAATTTTTTGTGGTAAAAATTTTCTTGTTAATTTCAAAAATGTTTACCCTGTTCCCCAAATGATTTTTAAGAGCAACTGAATGAAGTGGGGGAAAAAAAGTTTTCTTCCTCACATTTTCATCAAGCAATGAAATAAATGTGGAATATATGATGCTAGTTTTAGTATTTTCAAATTTTACTGATAGTGCTGAATTTAACTGATTTTATATGTATATGTTTATGTTTTGACAAAAGTGCTAGTTTAAGTTTTGAAAGCATTTCGTGATTTTTATTGAAAGAATTTTTAATAGGTGTATGAAACCAAGGCTATATATATATTTAAAAGAATGTTTGCTTACTTGTCCTTTCCTGACAAAAGATAAATAAAATGTGTTGGTAGGAAGGGAAATTAATTTTTTCAATTGTTTACATTAGTATTATAATGATCAAGTGCATGCAAAAAAGCTGTTTAAAGGATAAGAAAATTTTAGAATGATAAAAAAAAAAAAGTTGCCTGGAGGTTAAATAAAGGTTTCATTCAGGCCAATTTAGTCATTTGATCTGAAGAGGGCAAATTTTAACAGACAATTTCTAAAATTCTTCACAATTTTGGAAATTAATTCACATTATATATAACATGTAAAATTCCATAGATTTTAATATTTTACTGGAAATTTTATAACTGACATGTGCACAAACTTAATAATATAATTAAAACATTTTTTTTATTATCAAAATAATCCATATTGCACAATGTCATAAAATAATTTATCAGAGAATAGTTATGTATTTTTTGAATGCCTTGTCTTGAATCATTGTAACTCTTATTAGTGTTTACCTTGGTCCAAGCACATTTCTGCCTTTTAGATATTCTGTATAAGCTATATCTGTCTGTACAAAATGTTCACCATGTTTTGTTTTGCTTTTTTGTTCTGTTATATGCATTTAGATAGGGCAAAAATAGAGGGGTTCTGTAAGATAAAATGGTATTGGTTTGCATGAGAAAGCCACTGGAAGAATTGCATTGTAGATAAAAATTTTTTTTGGAAATTGGGAAAATGTTAACAACAAAATGAGAATGATGAAATTATATTGTAAATGTGGTCAATGCAAAAGATATCATCAATTCTTTGATTTAAATTTTTTTTTTTTGCTTGCAGCACATAAATTTTCATTGTAATCATATTCACCTGTGCTGGTGTAAATTTATCCTTATATATTTACCACATAAATGCAAGAGCAAAATGAATAGTACAGTTTCTCCCAGAGACATTTTTTGCCCTCAGTTAGACAAGGAGGTCATGACCTTTTTGATTTGATCAGCAATTCTCCCAAGTTTTCTGTGTGCTGGCCTGTATCCCCCTTTCTCAACATTGGTGCAGATTATATTATTATTATTATTATATACTATGTTGTTTGTTAATAAGGTTGTCAGAAAACCTTACTTTGTATTGTTATATAGGTCAAAGGGTGTCGGAAGTGGCATAAATGTCACGTCTGCAACCTGTCAATTTCATATTGTAGTTTAATATGTATTTTAATAAAAACAGTTTCAATTATAATAATTAATCTTTGTTATTTTTATCATTCGTGCATTCAGAGCAATTGAAGACTACCTCTGTAGGTACTATGATGATCAGTAAAAATTTTTAAAAATTATTTCAAAAGAAGGATAACTCAAAGTAAAAGTCGCTATCAATAAAATAAATGCAGAAGTTGATCATCAGTACGTTTGGAAAAATTATAAGCAAACACAATCCAAGATTATCAACTATAGACCTGACAAATTGAGGTTTACGGAAAGGGGTGGTGGTATTAAAAATAATCTTGGTCTCCTGTCTATTTGAATATGCAATTTTGTCCAGGCTATAATTTGTTAATGGAGAATCATCGGACGCTCAGGCCAGGAGTATAATGGGTAACTAACAGGATTATTCACATTTCTGCTCTCTATGGGAGAAGTTTTAGTCCATTAAAAATGCATTAAATTTTGGAACAATCTATTTGGACAATTGAATAAATGCAGCAGGGGTATAATTTTGTGAGCTCACTAATAGTACCTTTGACGAAACTGTTTCTCTTTGTGGTAATTTTTTTTAAATCCGACTAAAACTACATGTATATGCAGAGTAGCCTTTTAAAAGAATTTTTCAGAACTTTTGATTTTAATTAGAACAGCGATGAAAACGCCGTTCATCGAGACCAGAAACCGATAAAAAAAAAAATATACATGTATAATCTTAGTTTAGTCTACTGAAGTCTTGTGTGCCAAATTATATTGAAATCAAACTAATGGATTTCACAGAACTTTCTGTTTTTATTAACCATGGCTACAGCATTCATCTTAATCAAATGCGATAAATAAATTAAAGACTAGTATCTATTCTTAGTGTTGTGTACTTGTGTGGCCAGTTATATTACATGTAATTGACATCAGACTTTTAGAGAAGTAACATTTTGAAAAAATGCACGACCGATATCTTACAATTGCATAAGCTCTTCTAGTCTCTGACCAATAGAACTAAAAAGAAAACACCTACCACCACAAAACAAAGAAGAAGAGCAAAAAAGAAACAAAATAATTGAAGATCTAGCAGCAGAAAGGTAGCATTTATCAATTCAAAGATACTGTAAAATCACATATTTTCGTGGGGTCAAATTTTCGAGATTTGAGGAAAAAATATTGGTTAGTGGGGATTTGAATTCATGGTTGGAAAATGTTTAGTAGCAATGCATATGAAATTTTACATTTCGTGGTGGTCGTAAAGAACTACGCACGCTAGCTCTTGATTCCCGCCTACATTTTAAAACCATTTAATTTAATATTGATGACAATTTGGCCATACAATTTTTGTTTAATACAAAGATCAGTCCAATGATAATTGATCAATTATTTAATACCAGTGCTAAACAGTAAACTATCCTTAATTCCAGCTCTTGAAATGAGGGGGGTAGACGATATTTTCCACTGAAATTGGGCTTAAAAAAGCATCACCATATTCTTAAATAGTCTTGAAATATTTTCATATGATTTGTGCATACAAAATTAGGCCTGTATATTAGTAAATACAAAGTTCCAGTTGTAAAGCACTTGGAAAATGCTGAAAAAATAAGCATTTTTGTCGTTTTTTGTCTATAAACATGCCTCCCCCCCGTGAAACACAAAAGGCTTGGGTGTGAATTTGTGAAATTCAGTCCATATTACCCGTAAAAAGGAATTTTTGTGTCACGTGGGGTAAAGATGTTTTAAAGATATTTTCAGTTGATTTCTTTAGTAAAAAAAACGAGTTTTACCCAAATTTTAATAATCTCTAGTTGTTTTCCCAAATAAGCAATGTTTAATGAAAATCCATAATTATAAATACCAATAGAAATATAAAAAATCATTCGAATATCCTAACTTTTGAAAATTGACTTGGAGGTAGGCGGGACACTAATACTATCGTTCGCAGTTCTTCGTGTTTTTCTCCATACCTCGAAAACAACGAAAATTAACCCCCCCCCCCCACCCCCGAAAAGTGATTTCACAGTAACAGAAAAGACTTCTTTGTTCTATTAGAGCCGGCCGTTCACGAAACTGGAACTTTTAAGTACATATTACATACATCAACTCAGTCTTGGCATGAAAACATTAATTTCTTTCTTTACCCCAATTCCCATTACTCACATCCCCTTTTTTCATCCCTACTTTTTTTTTCTTGCTTGTCAATTTTTGTTTTGGTAATTAAAAATAATTTTTTTCTTGCCCCCCCCCCCCCCCACCCCCTTTTAGAAAATGTTATGATCCGTTAAAATTCCACTAACGTAGTAGAATCGCCCACCACGTTCGCAATAGTGCTCCCCGATTCTTTTCTGTCGGAGATTTTCTTAACTGTGTAACAAGGTTAATTAGACGACAATTTGTAGAAATTGATTAATGTTTGCACGCAGAAGGAGCGCTAGATGTGGATTTTCATCTCTCTCCGTCAGCAAAATCCGCGTCTTCTGGGACTACTGATGACGTCAGGAAACAATTCTATATTTAGAGTAAAAGAGGACACCGAACTTCCACAAAAACAGGGTATTTTGCTGATGCTGAGTAAAAATCTGTCATTGACAATGAACAATCTACGCATAACTTATTTCCGAGGCGGAATATTTTTAACATCTTTTTATTATCGACCAAGAGCCTTCCAGGGATATATGTGTTACATAAATGTGAAGAAACAGGATGTTGATTGTGAAAGATCCCGAGAAAAAACCCCCAGAAATTGGGCCTACTTACAAATTTTGTTCAAAATATTTTTCCAGTTGCATTTAAAATAAATATATTTTTAAACGTAATAAATATTGTTTGTTCACTATCAAGTGCTATACGTACATGCATGAACTTTTTTTTTCTCTAAATAAAAACAAGTTGTCGTTAACAAAATTTTCACATTCAGTACAATTAAATGGATCACATCTTCTATTATACCATAATTGAATTTATTGCAAAAATAATTCGTTCCTACAAATAATAGAATATGCACAAACTTCAGTCATCAATTTATGATCAAGTTGATATATGGACTTTGTAATTACTAATCAAATCTCCTAAAATCAAAATTCTGTACATTATTCTCAAGACTACGATAAGGTACTGCCTAAATTTCAACCATATGCAATTTTTTGTCAAGGAAGTTGTTTTTTTTTCTGGATGCCCCTCCCTCCCCCACTTTCAAAAACGATATTCATACGTACATGAAGCTGTATAAAAATCTAATTTCTGTTTTTAATCATATTATATCAGATTTCCTGTCTCGCATAACTTAAAATTAATGTACGATTAAAAGTTGTCATCATTCTACTTTTCTCTCCAGTAATATCTTTTATTTGTTAGTCTGTGAAACCAAGAACTACCCACGTTGGTCTACGATACTTTATCGCAGATAAATACTGCAACAAAAGGCTTTACAATGCTAGTATAGGTTTAATTACGTATGCTGCACAAAACCTGTCACCATTTGAGCATTATGTACTTCCATTTTTAATAAAGAAAATTTTTTATTGAACGGGAGGGGTTCATAGTGGCTGCGTGATCTAAGGGGTTGCAGATCAAATTCTGATAATGACAATGTAAATTTTTAAAGAAATGTCGAAGAGGATAAGATGGGGTTTCACGTGAAAAATTAATGATAATAAAAACTGAGGCTTTTCTTTGCACACATTATCTATACATGGTGCAAATTTAAAATGATCATTGCATACCAGAGTTCATTGTATAATAAAATCAGAGAAAATGTTCCATTCTTTCTTTTCAAAACTTGACAAAGAAAATGTGCAGCTAAAGTCCAAAACAAGCCATTGCATCAAGAGAGAAATGTCTGCAAGGTTGATGTTAGGGCAAATCACTCCATTGTATAATAGGTGATAATCATCAAATAAATTAAATGAATATTGCTAAACTTTAAATGTGAAATGTTGTTTTTAGTCAATCTTATTTTCCTGCCCACCTTTGGTTAATTATAGTTTTGCTACAGTTGCAGAGTTAGGAAATCCACTTTCATATATCCACAACAGATCTCGCAATGTCACAGTTTTAGTTCAGGTGAGCTTAAAAACAAACAAACAAAACACTCGCACGTTAACATGAATGTTTTAAAAGTCATGAAAGTTAAAATGTGTATTCGTATTTTGTCAGAGAACATTTAGAATACAACAAACTAGAGACATCTGAAGAATATATAGAATATTGGGAATACTTAGTATACTGGTTTTCCAAAGAAAAAAAAGAACACGCATCAATTTGCTTTGAACAGATTTTTATTGTAGAATTCTTTGGCTATAATATTGCTAAAAGACAACAGCATATAACACATAATATAACACACACATCATTTTACTCATACACAGGTTTAATATAGCTACAACACATCCATCTATCACATATGTTTTTGGAAGACCCCAGGAAAAAATTCAATAATTTAAAATTATATAGATAAAGGTGATATCACTCACATAAATGATGCATTTTATCCTAACACTAGTACTCAAAAACACACAAAATTAACATACATTTACTTATATTTTTTAGTTTTGTGGGGAGATCAGAATCACTGTGTTTTTTTTAACAAAATCAAAAATAAAACAATTTCTTCTGTCACACCTTTGTATAAATTCTACTACAAGTAGCAGTCTTCTAAATTGTACGAGTTTCTGTGTGAAGAGTATTTACCCAAGTAATGTATACAGAAATTCTTATTCCTGAACTGAACACATTTCACCTGGTATCCTCCTTTGGCAGAGTCCACTGTTGAGACTGGATGAATCCATCACAATCTGATAACACCAGCCCTATATCAGCTTTATGACTGTCAATACACTGTTTAGATGGCTCATGAACAATCATGTTGTTCTGCCTAAACCAAAGCTGAAAATACAAAACAAATCTCGTTTTAAATTTCCTTTTCTTACACTTGTACATCTATTAAACTCATAAAAAATCAAAATATAAAATAGCCCCACAATTATTAATATTTAATAAATCATATTTAAAACAAATTGAAAGCATTTGCCTTTGACACTTTCCTAAGCATGATTTACTGTATAATGATAACTTTATGCACCTTGAAATGTTCTGTAATTGAGCCATAAAAGATCCAGTGAATACTTATTATTTATTAGCATTTATATGTATTTTAGATAGGGATTTGAAGAAATTGAATATGCAACAGTCACTAGTCAATTACTTAAAGAAATTATATTGCATAGTTAAAAAAAAGTATACAATGATATAACTAGCATATTCTATTACTGTAAATTACCTGAGAACTTGCACCGTTACAATACTGCATCAGAACATAACCATGCGTCTCCTTTACATCAGCCGTCAAGCACATTCCATTGTTCTTTATCATTCCTTTCTTTTTCCAAGTCCATTCCTGCGAAATTTGCAAGATTTTAATTGGCATTCATTGGTAATTAATTTTGATATTGTTTTCAAATACTAGTAACAATATTTAAAGAGTTTTCTCCCTTTGAAACACACTATCAACATACTGTGAAATCACTAATTTTTGTGGGGGTTTACTTTTCATTGTTTTCGAGGTAAGCTAGGAGATAACCATGAATTCATGACCGCCACAAAACGTAAAATTTAATCTAATGCATTACTACTCAACACTTCTCAAACCACAAAATCTAATCCCCAAATATCAATATTTTTTCTCAAACCTTAAAAATTTGCCCCCACAAAAATGTATTGTGCATTGTGGAAATATCATTAAATGAAGTTTTTCCCCTACCTGAGAACTTTTTTCCTCGGAACACTCACTGAGACTGGCCATTACCGGGACATGCCCCCGGGCAATGTCCATACACATCCCTGACCCCTGTCTGATCCTCCCGTAGACAAAGTCCTCGTCTGACGGCGGCCTCAGCTGAGGGAGAACGTGGTCCAGGTACCACTTAAATGGCCGACACTTTAACTGCTTACGCAACTTCCTCCTTTCCGCTACACTAAAGATTAATTTTTCTGGGTTTAAATAATCCTTGTTAAATTAGTATTGGTAGTTTTCTTATAGAAAACATTCAATGAGTATCCTTTTTATTAATATTAAAAGTCTTTTTATTTTGGCAACAACCTCTGAAAGTTTTGTCCCTTACACCCCTTGATGTCAGTGGACAAATGCACTACAAACAGCATTGTCTCTCTTGTAAGAAACAGTGTCTGGATAAATTTAATACTCATGGATGAAATTGTTTGCCACTGTGATTATATAGTGATAGGGCCAAAAAAAAAATAATAAAGAACTTCTTTAATACCATTAGCCTCGGCTGGTGAATTATCTGGTTGCATCAATATATACCGTATAACTGGTTTTTAATGCGGGTGCAAATTTTTGCGATTTGATCCTGAAATAGGTATGTTTATTTTTTGCGATTTTAATTTTTGCGATTTCACTTTGACAATTAAGTCTATTTTTATTGAATTTTATTAGTAGACATTTAAACAATAAAGTCTATTTTTATTTTTTATTGAACAAACCAAAGCAATTTAAGATACAGGTGACTCTCGATGGCTTGAACTCCGATCTCTCGAAGTGAACCTCCGGTCCCGTTTTTTTCCTCTATATAACTAAGCAAATTTACTCCTGATCTCTCGAACTTCTATCTCTCGAAATTCTCTATCTCTCGGACCAAAACCTGGGTCCCGTTACACATATTTCATTGAATTTTACTCTCTGTCTCTCGAAGTTTTGATTGCGCTTGTATACACGCCAATCAACCGTAAAATAGATGCAGTCTGGACTCACCTGGAAACAGTGAAGGCCTTGGGCTGTTAATTGGGTGTTTACATAGATGACACTACACCTGTGGGTCGTCCTTGTGTTGTTATAATTAATAGGTTATTATTTACAGGGTAAATTAGAAACAAAGTCACAGTTATTTTGAATTGAAACCGAGACGATAATTCTTTGAAATTAATTTATAGAAGTTCCAGTTCCCATAGACTATGAACTTTCATTTATGATTATAAAGAGTTTATATTATCCCAGTAGGGGAAATATTACACAAGAAATTCTTTTCTCAAGGACAGAATACCGATTCAGAAAAATCTGGTAAACACTGGCGAAGGACCCGATCAAGCCACGGAATAGCCAAACCGACAAATGCTATTCGGGTTTCATATAAATAAATCATGAAATACAATGTAGGAACAAATAAATATTGAATCTTTAGGAATTCGTTTTATCTATTCGAAAAACAATCGTTGTTGTTGATATCAATTAAATTACCTGTAAAATACGATTGAAAACGTGCAATGGCATTATTTATATATACTTCCGGTATCTGTAAAAGTAGAACTTCGATGATCGCAACTGAAAATTCCAGATTTTATTTACGTATTTTTTGCGATTCAATTTTTTGTGATTAAGACTTGATCGCAGAATTTCGCAAAAAATAGCACCCCGTAGAAAAATCCAGTTATACGGTATATAGATATGCATCAGCATAAACATCCAATATCTTCACGTATATTCATAGTGTCTACCTTTTAGGAAGATTCTGAAGACAACAGAGGTAAGAAATACCTGTATGTACCTGCCATGAGAGGTCATTCTGGCCGAGGGACGACTGGCATAGAAATATCTCTTGTACCCATCTAACCACACCTCTGCCACTCTCCGCAGATCTCTGAAAATAAACAAAAAAAACGTCAAAAAATGGTGCTGAATTAAGGAGAAAAAGCGCCTCTTCTGTTTCGATCTTTATAAACTTTTTGTCTAGGAACTGTTGAAGTTAAATGATCTATGCAATTTTTCAGTTATAAACAATTTTTTATATAATAATGGAATATTCTCTCACAGCGAAACCTGTTTAATATGACATGCAATGGAAAACATTTTGTAATGGAATGGACAGGGTGTTGAATTACATAGTGTAATGAAATAGGAAGTGTAAAGAACTAGAAACATACAAGAGCTGTTTGTAAAACACTTATGCCCCCTCCCCCAAATTGGAATTTTTCCAAGTCCAAGGGGCATAACTCTATCAAAAATGGCACAATCGTACCCAAAACAGAACTTGATCTAGATATTCATATGATTAATCTGTATACTCAATTTCATTTCAATATGTGCAACCTCTGCAAGAAAATGAACGGAAACTGCAAATAAATGGAATTTTTCTAAGTACAAGGGGCATAACTCTGACAACAATGGTGCGATCATACCCAAAACAGAACTTGACCTAGATATTCAGCTGATAAATCTGTATACCAAATTTCATTTCAGCATGTGCAACCTCTGTGAAGAAAATGAATGGAAACTGCAAATAAGTGGAATTTTTCTAAGTCCAAGGGGCATAACTCTATCAAAAATGGCGCGATCTTACCCAAAACACAAATTGGCCTAGATATTCACCTGATGTATCTGTATACCAAATTTCATTTCAGTATGTGCAACGGTTGTGAAGAAAATGAACAGAAACTAAATGGACTGACGGACCGACAGACCGACCGACAGACAGCAGCAAAGCAATATGCCCTCCCTTCTTCGAAGGGGGGCATAATAAAATAGGATTGAAAATTATAAAGGTTGCAATTCACAGTGAAATGGATTATACAGGTGTCAGATTAGACAGTTTTTACTGTATTTATTCAGTCAGTTTACCTGACAACAGAGAGGGACTTGCTGTTCTGAGTCACTGCTCTCTTCTTTTTCCTGATAATACCCACGTGACTACAGGGAATGATTTCTACCGTACCTCCACACAACCAGGATTTCAAAGACAGCTCTAAAAATAACAACTCTATCATTAAAAGTGTGCATAAAAGAGGGAGGTTTTGTTCCTAGGGAAAATCACTACATGTATATGTACATTACAGTGTTGCGCTATAATCAAGTTGCAAGATTTATAAGTAAATCCAAATTAAAATCAACATTTTAACCAACTTATATTGGAGACCCATCATTTTACAGTTGATAGTTTGAACAACACAATTTATAATTATCTTCCATCATATAGCATCAAACCTAAGCTGGCTGTTGCAATATTTTCCAGATCTGGATCAATTTGACCCAGTTTCAAGAAGTGTTTCCTTTCTATGGCTATAATCTTCCCTTCAATGAGAGGTGATCTGAAAAAATGAAGAAAAAAAATTATCCCATACTTCAATCAATAAAGGTTTCTTTACAATTAAAAAAAAAGTATGAAATTTATAATTCTAGGTCATTAATTTGTCAAATATTAAACAAATGTATGCATGCCAAGTTAAATCGTAATTTTTGAAAGCAGTACTGACATCTTTAGTACTATTCACATCAACATTCAAGTTTTAAAATTTCAAATGTCTTTTCTTTCAGGAATTCTTGGTTTGAAAATTGAAATGAAATACAAAAAACAGTTTTTCTCAATCTCTCCATTCTGAAGTCAGAAAACGGAAAATGAGAATAAAAACTACATACATAATCATATATACTCACAGAATAGGTTTGTTTGACTCTGCTGCTGTCAACTGCTGCCACTTCACAGATAAACTCCAATCAAAAACTGACAAATTATATAATACATACAATGTTTATTTCACAAAATAAATTGTAACCGCATGTTTAATGAAACAATATTATGCTTACATGTATATATTAAGTTAACTAATGAACCAGTTCAAGTTGTAATCACTAAATCCAAAGATTGTTGAATCAATTAAATCATTAATTTCTTATTTGTTTATTATAATGATGCTATTTCATTAAAAGCGTATTTTTGATTCGTGTATAATTAGGGATGGGTATCGCCAAAAATTTCGCATCGCGATATATCACGATTTTTTCCCACAATATCATGATAATATCATGATATTTTTAAAAGCAGTTTTTACCATGATTTTAAATGAAAAGTCATTATTTTTCTAAAAAAATATGCGAGAAAAACAACATTTTACTATCTTGAAATTTTTATGTTTATAAAATCAATTATGTTTGGACGGTAAGATGCCGTTCTTTTCAATTTTAACAACAATTTTTATACTTTCCGTAATTGTAATTTGAAAGATTTAACGAATAAATGAATAATTTCTGGACTTTATAATAAGTACCTAAAGACCGGTATTTAGGTCTCCGTATCACGATACGTATCACGCAACAAAAAATCGCGATATACCGGTATACCGATAAAATCACACATCCCTATGTATAATTTACCTGCTTTTTGATTGGTATTAGTAGATTCAGACTCAAAAGTTTCAAAATGTATAAAATCTACTACTGGACTAACAATGAGATTAGGTCTCTGAAAAGAAAAGCTAAAATCATTATTAAGAAATCACTAGATTTAGGAGATCATGGTAATTTTTTTTTTTTTTTGACAAAGAGACTCCCTTGAAATCCTTAAAAAAAAATATAAATCAAAATTTTAATCACACAACGGCTCAACTTTTCTTAACTCTTTACAACTTACTGAGCTGTGATGCAACATACACTAAATGTTCACCTCACAGGAATATAACTTTACCTTTTCCCCGCAAGCACTTTAAAGCATGGTAGGTAGAAGTTTCTCTAACAGTTAGCAGAAATAATTATGACTTAATATTTTAATATGTTTATAACTTTTCTTATTTTATGAGATTTTAGCAAGTATAAAATAGAAAAAAATTTGCATTTAAATAGAAGATTAAATTTACTTTTGAAAGTGCATGAAAAATGTGTGACTGCGCGGAAATAGTATATGCGTGATTGTGCATTAGAAATAGGAAATGGTAAATGTGTTAAAATGAGTGACTGCGGGGAAGGGAGTTAATCCATGAAATAAAATCCCAATGAATCAATACTTTTTTCCTATGACCATATCTAAATTCAGAGAAGATTTCAGATCTTACAGAGTATACAGACCCTGTGGATTCTCTCCAGTAGAGGTTCCAGCCACCCAGCAGTTACCTCCCCTGGGGCGGTCATGAGGACAAGGACCTCCCCTGAGGACTTAGCCACTCCCAGTAACAAGCCTGCTACCAACCCTAAAAAAAGTTTTAGTTTATATGCAATGAAACCTTGATACAGTGAAACTTGGCTGAACACCACTAGTTCCATAGAAACTGGACAGGTAAGACAATGTTCCAAATTAGACATCATTATAAAAATTAGCTGAATTTACTAAAAGGGACTACAAATAACATCTTATTAAACATATAAAATTTCAGAATGGATTACATTTGGATAACAGACAAGTTGTACTGTATTTCAAACCTGATGGAATTTGAGATATAGCATCTTCGCTAGCCAAGGGTTTCTGATACGCTCCTCTCCTCATAAACCCTTGGCCTACGGTGTTCATAAAAATCGGGATTTTTTTCCAGAGTTCTGATTGGATTTCAGTACACCCAGGTCGACCAATCAATTGTTTTTTGTAAATGACGATATTTGCGTTCGGGATACATCTTCACTCTTTAATCTCGGAAATGAAAAACGCAAGTAAACAACGATCCGTAAGATAACATTCAATTCCATGAATAGCCATGGTGTCATCCAATATCTTATAAATATGTGATTAAGAATTTATATTGAAGCTTCAGATTTGTTCTATAAATAATGAATAAACATAACTCAATTATTGCTTCTTAATTATTATTGAAAAAACTTTGATTTAATTTTTTTTAACACATGTCTTTATTTCTGGCGATGACGCAATCTGTGCGTACCTGATAGATTCGAGATCACGTGACGGAAAACAATCCCGTCTTTTGACTTCACGGTAGGCCAAGGGTTTATGAGGAGAGTAGCGTATCAGAAACCCTTGGCTAGCGAAGATGGAGATATAGGAGAGAATCAAGATTGAAATGTTTGAGGTTAAAATAGTTAAACAATTTATTTTTAAAAGTTGAGTTTAAAATTGAGTTTGAACTTTAAAATCTCTTCAACATTTTCATGCTATTGGAGACTTCCAAGATACTGAAACTCAATTGTTTGTGCAGGTGGGGCTGAATTTCAAACTGAATGGAAATGAATATTTTTACAGCTCTCAAATTATTTTTATGATTACATTTTAAAATATTAACTAGTGTTGGCAAATCGGACGATTTTTAGTAACCGGTTACTCGCTTCATCTTCCGATCGAGTACCCGGTTACTCGGATGATTTTTAGTAAAAGTATCCACATCTTTTATTCATCTTATGCTTTACTTATCGTTAGTAGTAATTCACAAATATACTGTATTTGGACATTATATTTACAAAACACACATGCGATATTGTGAACGAATTTAGATTTTAGATTAAAGAAAATAAGAAATTTGACACACGAAGAAGACAAATAAAAACATCGTCAATCACCGTCTCACTAATTGCTTTCCTGATGCTTTCCTTTTCAGCCCCCGAAATGTCGCTATCAAGGAGAATAATAATTACATACTCCGTAATTATTAGTTAATTTTCGTTAAGATTTTGAATCAACTGTTCTTTCTTACAGTTACAATCCAAGCTTAATTTGTCTGAGGCGGCATCTCGTTAAGTTCAATTATCAAATGAGGTAATCATAACTCAGGCCTTCAAAAGTTGTATACCCCCAAGCAATCAAAGCTATTAACTATATAAACTGTGAAAACTAATCAAAAAGTCTAACGGTATCTAAATTTAGGGAAATGTGTAAGTATATACATTTATAAACTAGAAAACAATCATTTTATATGCATTTACTATGTAATTTTTTTTATGCGAGTAACCGGATAGCAGTTTTACTAACCGATACTCGCATCGTTCGACGGTTAACCGGTTAACCGGGTACTCGTTGCCAACACTAATATTAACATACAACTTATTTTCAATTGTTAAGAATTTTTGAATTCAATGGAATGCAAAAATATATTAGCAGAAAATAATTGATCTTACTTTACCTTTTACTCCTGGCTGTGTATGGAAATACACGTTTGGAATTGCCGAGAGAGATCTGTGATACACATCTAAATAGGTAAAAGTCATCCCTAAATTTAATCTAATTAAGATGTGCATGCAGTTTAATTTTTAAATTGTTAGGCTAAGTTCAATGTGATCATAAAACAAAAATCACCCCCTCCTCCCACAAAATTGTCAAAAAATGTAAAGAGATTAAATCACTTGAATCTGAGGAACAAGTACTGGTACTAGCTGATGTGCTGAAAATGAATCACTGAAATATAAAATATTCTTCCTCTGTCTGGTCTTAATCTAAAAACAGTCTTAATAAATGTATAATGGTATAGTACTTTTTTATGTTTAAAAAAGATGTTCACATACCTGTTTCATCTTCACTGGAATCAATTAATATAATCTCTTTGATCAGACTTGGTGATGAACATCTGAGAATGCTGTAATGGGCAAGGCAAACATATATTCTGATTACCAAACTGACTATGGACTACTGTAAACCAATTAATATTCACAACATCTTGATTTGACAGTTCAAAATCAATTCTGTGAAGCTTAATTTTTGCAACTTAAGAAACATATATTGTCTACAAATATACTGCAAAATAAATGGTTCATGGTAATTAATATTTAATTAGTGAATTATCTAAAGAAGGTTGCAACACTCACAGACATTTATTGCACAGAAATTACATACTCTCTGAGTAACAATTTCATATGGACATACATATTTACATACCTCATGACCATCCTGAGTACCACAGAGGGGGCCTCATTCTGTAGAGTGATAATAATGGAGGCAGATGGTAGACTCTTGCTGGGTTTCCTCAGGTGTCTACAACTGAAAAAGGGAAAAATCCTTTGCATTTGCTATCAATAAACAGATATCCCATAGTTTAACAAAAGAGAAGCATGAAAACTTCAGACTCAAAAACTTAAGACTCCTCCATTAGCTGCATGAATTAACATCATTTGTGAGTTTGTGTGAGCATAATTTTGTGGATAATTTGTATATACTGAAGATTCAATAAATCAATATATTTACAGGAATAAAGTTTAATGGGTAATTTATCTAGTAACATATTGACCCCCCAGGAAATCAATTTTAAAAAAGGTCCCTCACAAACAGAACACCAATGTCAGATTTGAATTAATTTCATTCTGTTCCTAATTACTTAATATATTAGTTTTGCATTTTCTCCCTATCTATTTAAATTTGTAAGGAAGGCAAAGGAGGAGGATTAGCCATTGAGAAGATTGACAGCTAAATTTCAGACAGAATTTTCAATAAAACAGATGGCAGAAAATCTCTACCTTTGTGGTCTCCTTTCAGGAATGGTTCTGTTCCATGGAATATGGAGACTCTTATTAGCATTGTAACCATAATTCTGCCCTCCTTCTTCTTTAAATGCCCTAAGAAAATCATCTGGGTTGAAATTCTTCAGTGGGATTGTATGAATCTGAAAAAAATTGATGATTTGCAACATTCTTCTAAATCTTTTTTACTGACCAATAATTACAATCTCTAAATTTTATTTATGTTAATTAAAATAACCATATTATAATGTCAGAATAGTTAATGGTTATACATATGTATTAGAAACCATTATCTTGAACACAAATATCTCAAATAGCATGACACAGTTGGAACTCCAGACCAAACAATATTTTTGGTTTATATGTTTATGTTTTTACCTTGAGAAACGTCAACCTCAGGAATATTGAAGTTTTTTTCTTTGGTCGCACGGGTTCGAGTGAAAGAGATTTGACTGTAATTCGATCGCATTTAAAAATAACTTTGTAATGAAACTAAAAAAATTGTGAGACTGATGGTCAACCTACAAATTTTAAAGAAATACCTCTCCATAGTCATCGATCTCCGTAATAATGTGCAATCCGGCGTGCGCATCAAAGAAACTGTGGAACACAACACCAATAATGTAAAATACACTGGTAAAGACGAATGCAACGGAAAGGAAAAATAACAAACGCCGAATTTTGCGCATTATTTTCCTGTTATCATCTTGGTCTAAGGGGCGTCATCAGCATCTTCAGCTGATGTGATAACAAGGGTTTCAGGTTTCACTCTTCGCGGCTTTGCGACTTCGCAACGTGTTATGATGTTGTGTCAACATCATGTGGCTAGACTGGTTCTAAATCGCATTATAATGGTGAATGGTAATTTTAGAGGTATTCCGACTGAGGTCGAGAACCAGTTTTCATACGGTTCCTAAATTTTCTTTTCCATAGGTTCCTGAATGTCATTTCGGCTTCCAATTTTTAGTCAATAGCCCTAGGGAAAGAAAGAAGAAAAATGTTTTGTACGAACTTCATAATTATTTTTGCAATGGAGTTACATGTGGTTGAAACATGGACAAGAAATTAGGAACAGAATGAAATTAATTCAAATCTGACATTGGTGTTCTGTTTGTGAGGGACCTTTTTTAAAATTGATTTCCTGGGGGGTCAATATGTTACTAGATAAATTACCCATTAAACTTTATTCCTGTAAATATATTGATTTATTGAATCTTCAGTATATACAAATTATCCACAAAATTATGATCACACAAACTCACAAATGATGTTAATTCATGCAGCTAACATGGCTAATGAAGGATTCTTAAGTTTTTGAGTCTGAAGTTTTCGAGCTTCTCTTTTGTCAAACTTTCAGTGGGATATCTATGTGTTTATTGATAGCAAATGCAAAGGATTTTTCCCTTTTTCAGTTGTAGATACTTGAGGAAACCCAGCAAGAGTCTACCATCTGCCTCCATTATTATCACTCTACAGAATGAAGCCCCTTCTGTGGCACTGAGGATGGTCATAACCCAGAATGCCCTGCGCCAAACAAATATGGCTGCGCCCATGGACGAAGACGATGATGATCATGTGCAATGGAAAAAACTGTTTTTTCAAAACCAAAGTATACTTAATCATCTCATGCGACAAAGACCATTGGTTAATACCACTGAACAGCCTGTTTCTAAGAAACGCAAGGCATGTATTACCATTCTGACATAAAACAATAATTTCAGCAGTAGTTGTGCAGCTTAAAAATTTCACAATTAAAATAGAATGGCAATATTCAAAACAATATTATAATAAAATCAGATTAAAAACTCTGTTATTGAGAGATCTAACACTGCAAGATATTAGATAATATGATGTAGTTTACATGGATAATTGTGTTTTCAGGTCGCAAATGAGCCTGATGAACTAACGTCGGACAATGATGATGAAGAAACTCTTGATGACCTGATATCCAAAGTGCAAAAGGATAAAGACGAGGACAAGGATGAAGAGGATTTCTTAGAATCATTAGAAGAGTTTATGGTAAAAGATGACAAAACAGGACCAGCTCTAAGTGCTGAGTTAGCAAAAGTTATCAACACAAATTTCCAAGTAAGACCATCTGAAGACAAGGCAAAAAATTTGTGTGAAAAACACAACAGACCCGAAAACTGCTCTAACATGACGGTGCCCCGTATCAACGAAGAAATATGGCCATCGTTAAAGAAAAAGGCGCAGTCAATAGATTTTAAGATTCAAAAATCCCAAACAATTGTGTTAAAAGCTTTGAGCCCCGCTTGCAGACTGTTAGACAAATTGATTTCGGCAAGAAAATCAAAAACATCGGAAGTCACAGATATGAAGGAATGCCTTGAACTAGCACAAGATACAGTAAAATTGTTGCAATTAGCTTTTACAGATTTATCTCACAAACGGAGATATTTAATCCGGCCAGAATTGAAACAGAGTTATAAACCTCTGTGCAATGATTCGAACAAGGTCACAGAATTCCTCTTCGGGGACAATGTAGACGAAAAAATCAAGAAAATTGATACCTCGAAGAAAGTGAGCAAAAAACTCCAAGGATACAGTTTTCAAGGGTCATCTGCAGGAAAAAATCAGGGAAGCCATCAGAAATCTTATGGATCTGGCTACAGATTTAGTGGAAAACCCCAGACACATGGCACCTACTCCCATTCCTACAAATATGACCAAAACAACAATGGGTCTTTTTTAGGGAAAGGCAGGGGCAGGAGACCACCTCAAACCCAACAGAAGAAGTAGACAATTCTACTCAACCAACAATCACAGACATAGCTCATCTTGACCATTCTGTAAGTACAGTTAATAGTGAGGAAAAATGCAACATTCTTGAAAAATTTCATAATACACCTGAAAATTTCTATGGTGGAAAAATTTGTTATTTTGACAAATGGAAGGAGTTAACATCAGATAGGAAAATTCTTAAAACTGTACTAGGATATCAACTTGACTTAATACAGTCTCCTTTGCAAGATAGGGTTCCTCATCAAATAAGGTTCTCTCCAGAAGAAATGATAGTCATTGATACAGAAATTCAAAAACTCCTTGACAAAAAAGTGATTGAAAAGACAGAAAGAATGGAAAATGACTTCATTTCAAACATTTTTACTAGGAAAAAACATGATGGAACTTTTAGATTAATTCTAAATTTACAAGATTTGAACAAGGATGTTGAATATCACCACTTCAAAATGGAAACAATAAAAAGTGCTTTGTGTCTAGTAAAACAAGATTGTTGGTTGGCCTCGGTAGACTTAAAAGATGCCTACTATTCTGTACCAATATATTCCGCAGACAGAAAATTCTTAAAATTCATATGGAGAAATCAGTGTTTTCAATACACTTCTTTACCTAATGGATTATCTTCTGCCCCACGTGTGTTTACAAAACTTTTAAAACCAGTTTTTAGTACATTGAGAAAACAAGGATTTGAAAGTGTACCATATATAGATGACATTTTATTGTTAGGTGATAGTTTTGAACATTGTGCTCAAAATATAGGAAGTACATCAACATTACTTGACAATTTAGGATTTACTATTCATCCTACCAAATCTGTTGTTGAGCCTGTGCAAGAAATAGCATTTTTAGGATTTCTCATAAATTCTAAGAAAATGATCGTTTCTTTATTGCAAGACAAAGCAAAAGATATAAAGGATCTAGGGTCTAAATTAATTATCAAACATGAAATCCAGATAAGAGAGTTGGCGCAGCTTATTGGGAAAATGGTTGCGGCTTCACCAGCTGTCCAACATGCACCTCTACGATACAGAAATCTTGAAATTTTCAAAGATAATATGTTACGACAAAATAGAGGAGATTTTGACAAAAAGATTCTTTTGACCGTTGAATCTATTAAGGACATTTCATGGTGGTGTGATAATATTTGCACAAGTTCAAAGGCCATCCTAATTCCTACTGTAGACATTATTTTAGAAACAGATAGTTCTCAAAAAGGATGGGGAGGTTGTGAAATCAAGTCTGGCAAGAAGACTGGTGGAAATTGGTCATATGAAGAAAAGCTTTATCACATTAACTATCTAGAACTTAAAGCGGTGTTTCTGAGCATTAAGACATTTTGTAGCACATCAGAAAACACACATATACAAGTTAGATTGGACAACATGGTGGCTATGCATTATATAAACAACATGGGGGGCAGAATTCCTGAACTCAATTTGTTAGCTAGGGATATCTGGTTTTGGTGTATAGCAAGAAACATTTGGATAAGCGCCTCTCATATTCCTGGCATTGACAGTGTAGAAGCAGATAGACTGTCACGCACTATTAATGATGATTTAGAGTGGAAACTGAACGAGACTGTTTTTGACAGTATATGTCAAATATTTAACTTAAAAAATGGAATTGACTTGTTTGCATCCAGATTAAATCATCAACTTGATAGATATGTGTCTTTTCTCCCAGACCCCGAAGCTATTGGTGTTGATGCATTTTCTTTTCCTTGGAAAAATGACAAATTTTATATTTTTCCTCCTTTCAGTATGCTGGGGAAAGTATTGCAGAAAATTCAGCAGGACAAAACAAATGCAGTAGTAATAGCACCACTGTGGCCCACACAAGCGTGGTTTCCAACACTTCTGAAAATGATTTATCTGCAACCTTACCTTCTGAACAACAAAAACATCCTTACAATGCCAACAGATCCGAACAGACAACACAGGATTCCAAAGCTGAAGATGGGATGTTTTCCGTTGTCCGGAAACTTCTTCAGGACAGAGGAATATCGGAAAACCTTGCCGTGGTCATTTTCAACTCCTGGAGGAAATCTTCTCAAAGACAATACTGGAGTTATATCAAACGATGGTTGCAATTTTGTGATTCATGGAAAATTGATTCATTTAATCCAACTGTAAATAATTTTCTTTGTTTTTTACAAACTTTGTTTGACCAAAAATTGTCATATAGTGCAATCAATACAGCAAGATCTGCTGTCTCATCATTACTTTCACTGTGTGGTAAAGAAAATTTTGGATCTCATACTCTAATTAAAAGATATTTAAAAGGTGTTTTTGTCAAACGACCAACATTACCAAAGTATACCTGCACATGGGATGTGTCAATAGTTATAAATTATTTGAAAACATTATTTCCACTTTCAGAATTGTCTTTGAAACTTCTGTCATGTAAAACTCTCATGTTATTAGCTTTATTGACTGGTCAAAGAGGTCAAACATTACATTTGTTAACTGTTGATGATGTAGTTGTAGGAAATGATCATGTAGAAATTAGATATAGTTCTTTGTTAAAAACTTCCAAACCAGGAAAGCATGTAAATAATGTTAAGTTTCCAATGTATGTAGAAAAGGAACTGTGTATTGTGAGGACACTATGTGACTATTTAGAAAGAACAAAATTTATAAGACAAGATAAGAAATTGTTTATCAGTACTATGAAACCTCATAAGGGTGTTAGCAGAGATACCATAAGTAGATGGATACGTGATACAATGGAAATGTCGGGGATAGACATATCTAAGTTTTGCCCACATTCAACACGGGCAGCTGCTACTAGTGCCGCTCATAAAGCAGGAGTACCAATAGACATTATCATGGAGAAAGCTGGCTGGTCGAACGCTAGTACTTTTCGAAGGTTTTATAACAAACCGATACAGACATCTGCACAGTTTAATGAAAGTATTTTAAAAAGTGTTACTTGATTAAATTCGATTTGAAAAATGTAAATAAATGGAATGTTCTTTAGTTCTACTCTTATTTTATTTATTTATGCATAGACAAATACATCAGCTCTGAAATCTCATATGATCCCTCAGTACTTTGATTTGATAGAATTCTTAAATTAAACGAATATAACTTGTTAGATGAAGTTTGATTGTAATTCTATCAAATCAAATAGTTCTGAGGGATCAGATGCCCGCCACAATTTTAATATATTATCATTAGTAAATAATAAACCCACCCTTGGGCATTTAGGTTTTCAGTAGATGTAATTGTCTATGGTATCTGAAGTCTGATTGGTTGAATGGAATCACGTGACCTAAGTCATCTCATCTGATCCCTCAGAACTATTTGATTTGATAGAATTACAATCAAACTTCATCTAACAAGTTATATTCGTTTAATTTAAGAATTATAATGGTGAATGGTAATTTTGGAGGTATTCCGACTGAGGTCGAGAACCAGTTTTCATACGGTTCCTAAATTTTCTTTTCCATAGGTTCCTGAATGTCATTTCGGCTTCCAATTTTTAGTCAATAGCCCTAGGGAAAGAAAGAAGAAAAATGTTTTGTACGAACTTCATAATTATTTTTGCAATGGAGTTACATGTGGTTGAAACATGGACAAGAATTTAAACATGTTAAATACATTACAATTTAAAACAGGTACTGCAGTTAGCAGAAAACTCCCCCCTTTTTAACCCTTGATATAAAACAGCAATTGTCTGCTTATCTATGATTTCAGTTTGAGGGATATTTAATACACACGAAGAAAGAATTGATAACTAATAAGTTTTGCTAAGACTTTTTTTTTTAATTTGAGCCCCCCCCCCCCCCCCCGGGTACCTGTAAAGTGCGAAACGAAATAGAAACGAAACGAAACGAAACGAAACGAACTGAAACGAAACGAAATCTTCCGAAACGAAACGAAATCTACCGAAACGAAACCTACCGAAACGAAATCAAAACGAAACGAAATCGAAACGAAACCTGCCGAAACGAAACGAAAAAAAAAAAACATTCGGAATGTTTTTCAAATCAAGGTATACCGGTATACATCAGGTTATATATAATGTGTATCTGCATGTGATCTATTTTTACTTCATATGAAATTTGTATACTTAGTTCAAGCACTTGTTAGCACAGGCAATTGTTTCGTATAAGGAGTAGCCTACTTGTTTTTAACACTAGGTACCTAACTCAATTTTAGGCACCCCCGCTTCAAGCTCATACTTAAATTGACATCGTTCACTTCGAGAGACTTTTTTCTTGTCAATTAAATCGTTTTGAACGTTTTTAGTCGAGTCTCGACACCTCGGAATGAAATACTCGTAAGTCTCTGGTTTTGAACATTTACAATGTAACACATATAATCATTTTGATAGATATGATGTATCTAGATAAAGAAGGGATGAAAAATAAGACATAAAAATTAGAAAATACTGCACATATTTAAATTATACATGCACAGTATACTCGCGCATATTTGCAGCTGGCAGCAGCTCATACATATAAATACATCATTAGATAAGGGAGCATAATTGATCGGTATTTAAATTTTATATTAACAAGTGCTTGAACTATATATAAAGGACAAGATAGGGTAACAGTCGAATCTGGTCCCTTTTTTGATGTAAAAATCAAAACAATGATAAAATTGTGGTAGTTTGTAGTTTAGTAGTTAAAATGATGCTTACTTTAAAACAAGCACTAATTTAGCTTCAAAGCTTACATGGATGCCAACAAAGATGGTGCAGAAGTTGGACATTTGCTCAATTCTGGTGGAATTTCATAATATTTGAAATACTTTTCTCTTCGGAAAACATAGAGCACAAGCTTGCCTGTCTGAGATTTTTACATATAACCTGATATTATAGTGTATAAAATATATAAATTTGGTAGATAGGCAAGCTTGTGCTCTATGTTTTCCGAAACAAAATGTGTTGTAAAATCGATGAAAATTTGCATAAAAATGAGAAAATTCGAAAATAGACCTATTCCCTGACCTCACTGTGACCTCTGTATATTCTAAATCTTAGAACCAATACTCATTTTGTGGAAGGGGTGACAGCAAGTTTTTATGGATAAACTGTTGGATCATTTTGAAAGACTCCCAAAATCGGGGGCCAAATACTGGTCTTACCCTATCTTGTCCTTTATTTGAAGTAGAAGAAGTCCACATGCAGTTACACATATATAATTATTTACATGTACCTTGATTTGAAAAACATTTTTATAGTTTTGTTTCGTTTCGTTGGGTTTCGTTTTGATTTCGTTTCGTTTCGGTAGGTTTCGTTTCGTTTCGGTAAATTTCGTTTCGTTTCGGCAGATTTCGTTTCGTTTCGTTTCGTTTCTGTTTCGTTTCGTTTCTGTTTCGTTTCGCACTTTACAGGTACCCCCCCCCCTCCCTTTGTGACTGAAATCCACCAACTTCACTTGCTGTTTCTAATCTCTTAAGGTCATACACAACGTAGTTTGAACTTTATTGGGTTCTTCCCTGGAGTTGAAGACTTCCACTTAATAAAGAACTTGTGTGCAGTACTTTTTACCGGCCGCCAGGAGGCGGTCGGTTATATGATATGAAAGTTTTAAGTCACCGTGCGTTTCTGCGGAGTTAGAACAATTTGAATAAAAAATATTTAACATTCATGTAATAGAATATTAAGAAAGAGTGTCTAAATGTAAAATAAAAACGCATAATAATCATAAAATTAAAATTTTATGAATAATGGGTTAAATGTTTCATCCAATCCTGATTGACAAACTCCGACGTAACTGAAGTGCGGAGAAATAAGCACACATGTTGAGCATAGTCTAAAGCAAGGACCGCGTTATATACATGTCTAAACAAACTTTACTTTCTCTACTTCAACAGGATTTGTTGTATATATAATTTAAATTAACGTGTAAATATAAATATACATTGTACTTTTAATACGGAAATTTTTCAAAAATATGACTTAATCTTAATTTATTATCAGACAGAATATTAGGAGATTTTTCTCCAACAGACAAGGATAAAGCGCGTTTTACAACATGCCAAACCTTTTCCGTCCACATGTCACACCAAAACAAGATAGAGAAGAAATGTAGTGGCGGATCTAGAGGGAGTTGGGGGTTTCAACATCCTCTGAGCGAGCGAGGAGCCCCGCATAGTTGAAAACTTGTTACGTTTTATTTAATGTTAAACTATCTCTAGTTAGATAAGTTTAAACGTTAGTTTTAATGGTTAAGTGTTAAAACTACTTAAACATCAAACTTCCGCGAGAGTTCGTTTATAAACTTACTGAGTGCGGGGACACAGAGGGCTATGAGTAAGTTGCTTAAATACATTTTATTTGTAGCAATGTACATGTATTATGTACTGAAGAAAATCCTGGGATGTCGCATTCAAATGTTTAATGTCACAGGGATATATATTAATTAACAGATAAATAGAAGAATTCAGTTTCTAATTTATTGTAAGAAAGAATTAATTGGTTTGCGGCCGATTTTTGACGCTTGCGTCAATATGTTTCTTGTAATGTCTATATATGGATTTGTACACTTCTTCTAAAACAAATTTTGATGGAAAAAAATCTTTAAATTATGTTGTGTAATTTTTGTATATTCTTCTTTGAATAATGCAAAAATTGTCAGAATTTGATATCCTCCAAAAACCCCTGGTAATGCATACTGATTTTTTGTCTATGAACATCTGATGCCACTAATCTTAAATTAAGAATATCTTTAAAAAATATTATTAGTAGGTAAGGTACCTTGCGTATGTCCTTAATATCCGTGGGTCAGTTTTTCTTCGCGTGAACTTGATTTTTATATCTATAGTATGTGAGTTTTATTTTAATGAAGAGGAAGGGAAATTCTTAAAACTGATGTGCCCTGATTTCATAATTAGTTATACAGTGGAACTTAACTGTTTAATTCAAATGTTGTATATTCCGAAATCTCGCCTAATACGGTTAGACAAGTTTCCCTGTAAATTCTAAAATTGTATAAAAATGTTTAAATTTCGAGCATCGTATTTATAAAACCCTTATTAAAAGTATGGTGAAGGGTTTTTGGTTAAAAATGAATATTTACCGATATTGTGGCTATGAATTCGTCCACTACGAAACACAGAGCTTAGGCGAGGACAATTTGGTTCTGGAAGGAGGGGGGGGGGGTAATTGTTTTGCATTTTATTATATTATAATTATTTATACGATGGTCAAGGGTATTTTATTAATTGTTCATTTATCGTGATCATTCCTTGTAAAACAGTTTTAAAGGCAAATAAAAATGATAACTCAAAATAAATAGATAAAAAAAATTAAAATCCTAAAAAAACCAAAGAAAACGTCCAATCTACAAAGTGGGGATGGAGTGGGTGTTCGAATGGGTCACAGTCAGAGGATCAGATTATCTATTTTCTGTCAGAAGAGGTTATTTTATTTAATTTCAGTATTTTCGAGCAAAGAAAAAAATTTGCAGCCTCTCCACCTGAGTCTCCGTATTCAGCTAAAAGTTCTCGAGAGGGACGTTTTAAAACAACATACAAACAAACAGCGTTATTCGCCCCCTTAACGACCCTCTACATTTATATTATCAGCTTATACTTTGATCCATCACAGTTAATCATGTTAATATACCACTGTTAAGTAAATTCATAGTTGTAGTACTTTTGGGAGAATAAATTTACCTGAATTCAAGAAGAACAAAAATAAATTGTTGTAATCGTTCATTCTTGATGATCGCAATAGCATGGGGATCGAATTCAGTAGTAACCGGAGATCATTCGGAAAATCTTTGACTTCTACCTTTTATCATTCTTGAAAGCGAAAGCAGCAAGCATGCCGTTTGTGTCGGGAATTGACCACAAATATATTGCAATTGGTGCTTTAGCATGCACTACAAGTGTTGCAGTTTTCTCGACGTATAAATGGCTAAGTGAAAGAAGAAGAAGACTCAAAGGTTCTGTTTATGAATCACAGAAATTACTGAATGAATACCTCGTTTTCCACTACGGAGCCAAGGAAGAAGTTCTGAAATATGACTTTGGACCAAAAGGAGCCCTTGACTTTCCTAAAAGATGTGCCGACATGTGTTTAAAACATTGCAAAGGATTTGGCAAGGTATACGGATAAGGCTTACTAATTTTCTGTACATATCAATTCACCATTTTCACATTGTAATTTATTTATTTGCGTTGACATGTTAGAGCTTGACCGTATTTGTATTTTTTTTTACAATGACACGGACCAGTGCATTGAATTAAAAACTTTATACCAGGGATTAACATGTTTGATTCATTGTAGATGAAATATGTTACATTTTAAGTTTATAAACGAACATCATGAATTTACTATAAGCAAATTGTCTATATGTGTTTTAAAGGTACAGTGAAGTCGCCAATTACGGGTCACGTCAGGCACAGGCACCTGAAGTATGGATAATACCCCCCTTTTTTTTATGAAAAAAAATGTAAGAGTGTATAATACCTCGAAAATATAAAATTTCCCCTTCAAACACATCTATATGTCGTTATATGCAACCAGATTTTCTTTTTTCTCACGTTTAAAGAATGACCCTTTTCGGTATAATAAAAATACACAAGGTAAGAAACAAAAGTTGTAAACAAACGGGGGTTCCCCACTTCGAGACAGATTTCCAAGGTAATAACAATGTTACCTATCATAATTTTGCAAGCACTCTGTCTGGGAGATGTTCTTTTACTAGTGTCTTAAATCTAAACCCCGCTTTTAGCGTTTATATGCCGTAATCAAACGATTTATTAATCGGATACATGGATTTTCTCCATTGACAGCTTTGGAGGAGGTTTTGGAGTTGCTTTTCTGTTTCGCCTTATCTGATTGGTTAATTGTGATACAGTTTAAATATCTAACCAATCAGATAAGGCGAAACAGAAAAGCAGCCCCAAAACCTCCTCCAACGCTGCCAATGGAGAAAATTTTATGTATCCGATTAATGAATCGTCCGATTACGGCATATTAACCATCAATGGCGGGGTTTAGGTTAAATAGTTTTGTAGAAAAACATCTTCCAGACAGAGTGCTTTCAAAATTATGATAGGTAACACTAATTATTACCTTGGTAATCTGTCTCGAAGCAGGGGTCCCCCATTTGTTTACAACTTTTGTTTCTTACCTTGTGTATTTTTATTATACCGAATAGGGCCATTCTTTAAACGTGAGAAAAAGTACAATCTGCTTGCAAATATTGACATATAGATGTGTTTGAAGGGGAAATTTTATATTTTCGAGGTATTATACACTCTTACATTTTTTTTTCATTGAAAAAAAAAGGGGGGGGTGTATTATCCATACTTCAGGTGCCTGTGGTCAGGGTGTTTCGTTGATATTTTGCAAATCTGTTCAATTCATATTTTATGCAATATATGTATTGAAAGAACAAATAGTGAGTCATTCAAACACCTTTTTGTTTTCAAAGTAGCTACAAGGGAACAATATTTACAGGGGTATTTCAGCAAGGCCTAGCTTCCCCAGTTACGAATCATTTTCGCCATTTCCGGGTCATGTGACTTCACGGTCGTGTAATATTCACGGAACGTTTCGGAACACGATTTTTATGATGTGGAAACATAAAACAATTAATGCAGCTTGGAAAAAAAGTAAAACAACCACAGAAATATGTTGAATTTTTTTTAAACAATTACAACAAAACAAATTGCAGTATGCAGAATTAAAAAAAAATGTATTAGGATTAAAAATAATACAATTATAAATTTATTTATTTAAAAAGTGCATTAGAAGGGTTAACTCGATTTTAACTTTTAGAAAAATATTTTCCAGTTAGAATACTTTTGATAATCAAGGTTAATACATGGTTGTCGATTGGTTTTGTACATAGAATTTTGACGTGTTCATGCCACGAGATTGCATGACCCACAAATGGAGAAACTACTCCTATTTGATTTAATAATCATTATAATTTTATTTGAGAAGCGATCATTATGATTGATTTCTGAGTTAAAACTTAATGCATTTGCAATACTTTGGAGCTCTTATTATTTATCTGGAACTTTTATATCAGCCTTTCTACAGCGAACAAAAGCGAAAGTAGCCTGTCACCGCAGCAGAAACATCCAAGTCTTTAATGAGTGCGTTTCAGAATTTCGATTGTCGGATGCTCTCTTAAAGTTGATATTCAAAATTTTGTAAGTAATTACATACAGAAAGACCAGTTCTTCATAACCAGCGTATTCATTAAGTTTTTTGCGCTTAAATTTTAACAATATGGCATAAAATACACACGAGTGACCCGGAATAGGAGACGACCTGGAATTGGCGACTCCACTGTACTTGGACACAGATTTGAAGTTCATATTTTCTTTATAATATTACGACTTATATATTTTAATAGCATTTCACACAAAAATTAATTAAAAATCTTATTTCATTTAACAGTTATTAAAACTTTAAATTTTTTGGCGGGTTTGATTGACACATCTTTGCACTTTCACAAATTTAACTTTATTTTTAATCCTTAGGAAAATTGGCAATCTTGTTGTGTATTAATGAAAAATATTAATACTATAATCCAGAGAATTCAGAATAGACATGTTCAAAAGCAAAACAAACACACAATTTATTGTCAGTCCGTGCAGTTGTGGTGAATAGACTTTGGCGATTGAACGCACCCGGTGAATTGTAAACACCAAACAATAACAGAGCTCTTGCCCTGTTTACAAAAACTGTGTACATAACATGAGTGTGATCGATTTGGAAAACTCTGTACACAACGGAATGACGATATTTGTAAAGGAGTTTTGCTTTCTAACATTTCTACTCTGAATAAAATTAATTTTCTGAATTTAGGTTTTAATATTTCTCATTCATACACAACAAGATTGTCACTTTTCCTAAGGATTAAGAATAAAGTTAAAATCTGTGAAAGTGCAAGGATGAGTCAATCAAACCCACCAAAAAATTTAAAGTTTAAATAACTTTTGAATGAAGTAAGATTTTTAATTAATTTTTGTGTGAAATGCTATTAAAATATATAATTCGTGATATTATACAGAAAATATTAACTTCAAATCTGTGTCCAAGTACCTTTAAAACTAGTTTTTTGAAACTCACCAAAGGAAATCCTTTCACTTATCATATGCATATTAATGTATAATACAGAGTAAGACTCTAAGGCGAGCTCTGGACATTGGATGTGCAGTCGGCCGATCTTCATTTGAGCTGGCACATGAATTCCAAGAGGTGATAGGGATTGACTACAGTCAGTCGTTTGTAGATGCTTGTGAGCACATGAGGGACCTGGGAGAGAAAGTGTACTTTATACAAGATGAAGGGGATCTAGTCACTCCTCTTGTAGCCAGAGTGCCACAGGACATTGTAAGAATATACATGTATTGTCATTTCATTAACTTTCAATGTTCTGTTCATGCAACTTAATTCTACTTCCTTGTCATAGTTAAAATGGAGATATTTTACATTGAATGAGATTAAGAATGCATGTTTCACAGATGATTCATTTGCAAAGTACATTTACATAAGATTGACCTCAGTATGGGGTACTTACATTTATAGAGTCTCATTTTATGCTGTTGTACATGAAAACATGGTGCAGCAGAAAACAGACTCATTTCTTTAAATGTAATATTTATCTTAAACAATTTGATTATTAGAAAATGGCAAGTCCCTGCAAAGTTTTTGTCATCATCACTTATAAAATCATGGATTTGTGACTCAAACTTTTATTAAACTGACATTATTTATCTAACCTAGAAATTTACCAAAAATTCTTTTTCACTTTTTGGAAGGAAAAAGCAAGATGTACCTTTGAGCAAGGAGATGCTTGTGACCTTCGACACGACCTGGGGTCATTTGGGTGTGTTCTGGCTGCCAATCTGATTTGTCGTTTACACTCGCCCTTTGACTTCTTGCGACGTCTAACAGAACTGGTGGCACCAGGGGGAATACTTGTCATTACCTCTCCTTACACGTGGCTTGAAGAATTCACAGATAAAGTAAGTGATGTGTCAAATTCGAAGCTTTGTTGTTTAAAAAATCCTTAATATGTTGATGAATTTTTCCAGATGTATTTTTATAAAGACAAGATCTAGTAATTGAACATAGAGGTATTGAGCTTTAAAACCCAGGTCAATTATGAAATCATGACTTCAATGTAAAGTTAAAAATGCAGTTAATTAAATTAACAAAATTTTGCAAATATTTTTATCTGATGACACATTCAAAATGTTATCATGATTTTAAAATTAGATTATTTATGAAAAAGGTATAAAAAATGGTCATGATCATTTTACATTGAATTCCTTAAAGCAGTTGATATGTACTGAATTGTTTGTATAGTAGATAGTATATTAAAGATTTCTTTTCTAGTCGTATTTGATAACTGTGCATTAAATTAATAAAACAATCAATATTTTGCAGGAAAATTGGATGGGAGGGTACAAAAAGAATGGGCAGGTAGTGACAGGATTCTCTACCCTTAAAAAAGAACTGGGACCAAATTTTAATTTGGTGGAGTCATGTGACATGCCTTTCTTCATCCGTGAAACTGCCAGGAAAAATCAGTGGACCGTAGCACACTGCACTGTGTGGTCTAGGAAAATGAACTAAATCAAAAATGTCCTGATCGAACTTTGTGTGATAGACAAGTGCTTTAATATCTTTGTTTACAATCATTCCCTTTTTTTCTCTCAGTATTTTATTTACTTATAAGTCCTCAGATGTGCAATTTTCAATCAGCTTTATTTTTAAAATCAAAATAATAAATCAATGTGATAAATGTCAATTTTAGATAATTTTTTTGTGTATGAAAATAATATTTGTATTGTTTTTATGTTAGGCTGTTTATGGCAAGGTAAAGTCCTTTCTGAATCCATCTTTACAAGCATATATACACGCATTGGTGATGTACTTACCATATGAAGTAAATGTATTTATATTGAACTTTGGTAGAGTATCACAGATATTGAAATCTCAAATTCCATTGATATGTGTAAGCAACATGGAAGTCCCAGATGCATTTTCTTTTTGTATTTTAATTATCCTCTGTACCTTAAATTCTCTGATATCTGGAAAAAGTTTCTCTTGGTTCAATCAAGATTGACTGTTTGTTAAATTAATTGCATTTTTACATATTTTGATTAAAAATTATAAATTACAACATCAAGAATAACATTTCAGAATGAGCTGGCAGCATCTGACAATTTTTTGACCTTTCTCTGTAATTTCATTAAGATATATATTATATTTTATGTATTTCTATTGAGAAAAAGAATAAATTTATGCCTTAAATTCAAACTTTTTAATTCTATGAAGTGTGAGGTGTGTATTTGTTTGAGGTCCATTTTTAGGGTCACCTGAGTCACTCAGTAGACATATTGCTACCAGTTTTTAAGCGGTTAGCTTCGCTAGCCGCTATATGGCATGTGTCGGCAACCGGAAACCTCCATAAGGCGCTACCTATCGGCTTCGCTTTATCGCTCGAAACCTTATCCTTCTGCAACCAAAACCGGAAACTTCCACAAGGACCTACCTATCGACAACGGTAACTTCAGCAAATGATTTGTATACTGTCGGCGTAATACGCCCCCTGGTTGGAGATTGACAATATGCTGTGAAGTCTGACTAAAGCCAGCCCCTACTATATCACTTCGTACTAACGAAGTATTATGCTGTGTATGAAGAGTGGCTATTATAACGATTATATCGAATTCTTATTAGTATATTTACCAAAGCATTGACAATACTTACAACACTTACTTTTAAGAACTGAGAATTTGGTCCTAATTACATGTGTATCGCGCGATCGCGATTTCTGGCAACTGTTAGTTTATTTTTGAAAGTTTATTATACAGCAGGTTGGAGGTTATTACAGACTGCAAAAACATCAGCAAATCTCTCGATCGAGTTTGATTTTCCTTGCCAAAGTATTAAGAAACACCATTTATTAAGTTAATTCCTGAAAAGCGCTTTTATAAAAACACCGAACGCATCTGTAAGTTTTACACTTTTTGTAACGTTTTATGGAAACAATAGGGTTACCTCCACTAGAAACGTTTGTTTTTCTTCTCTTTTCTTCTCTGTTTAATAAACAGATTATAAAAGCTCTGCTCCCAGGGATAAATTCTCTACTCCGTCTTTGATAATTTATAACAATCGATCATAAGGGATTACTTACTATTAGTTTTGTAAAAAATAATGGAGCACTTAAAGTAGTAAAATCAATTTTGAAAAAAAAATGGAGAAATATATATTAATTTTAATCAGCATTGTGATCCTCTTCTAAAAATCAAACCGATATTATTTTCACAGAAGAATGAGGTATGAAAAATTTTGGCAATTAGCAAAAATTTAAAATATATACTTAATGCTTATTTATAAGTTTTGAAAATTTGATCAATTCCTAGGGAACGTATTATTAGCTGTGAAAATACTTTTAAAATTTGAATTTGTCCAATTTGTCGATTATTGTTTTAAACGTTTGAGAAGAATAAAATTAAAATATTGAGAACAATATTGCATGAAGAGTATATGATAAAAACACCTTATATGTCCTTATCTATATATTGTGCCTTATATTGTGCAAGACTTCTTTCAAATGATTCTCATATACCATTTACTTTATTCGAACATTTACTTGTTTGAAAAGTCAATAAAATATATTTCATAAAGCTTGATAATCTTGTTTACTCGCCAGTCTTCCCGTAGAAGTAGTAGTTTACAATATTACTAAAGGAAGTATTCAGTATCTGTATCAAAATACAGAATGATCAATGATCGATTTTAGAAGAAAAGCTGACTCCTGAAAGCTCAAGAGGTGGGATCCGTTGCCTAGAAAAAGTAAGCATCCCTCGTTGACAGGTTAATTATATTGCCGCGATGAGCTTACACAACTGAATCTCTCTGATATCAATTCATTTACAAAGTCTCTCCTCAGCCATCCTTTTTTCTCTGACTAGCCAGGTGTAGATCTACACTACTCCAAATCCATTAATCTAAAGAATTTAACTTGTCATTTTTTTGTTATAGTAGCCTTTACAATTACCTAATTTCAGATTCAATAGAGAATAAAATACGATGAAATTTTCAACATCAACATAATTTTTTTTTATCCAGAGAACAATTGGATGCCATCAAGAGAGAATTTTTAAAAATGCACTTCCTGTCTTTCAAACTGAAGAAATCTCCTGTTTAAATTTTGAAACATGCATTTCAATCTTATTAAGATTTATTTAAATGTTCCAAATCCGCTACCGCTTCTGAAACATCTAACATCCCATTCGGGGTCACATCAGAGCGACCTTTCAATTATGAATACATGTACAAGTAAACACAAACACTTTGGCCATGTAGATTCAAGCCTCGGTAAATTAATTCCACGGCTACATATCATCATTATTGATACTGTCTTTCGTTGAATTAAAGTAATTTTGGAATAAATTTCATGTATCTTCTGCAGTCTGGCATCTAAACGTGAATAATGCAAACGAAAGAGCACAAACTATACAAGATACCCCACACGTCATACATAACACAAATTTTGCAATGTATATCTTTTTACTACAAAACTCCTCGGGTGTTTTGGTTGGGTGGTGAAAACAAGAAACCCATCTGAACTATTAGCCAGGATTTCGGAGGAACCATTTTCTTTGCCTAATCGAAGATTCACTCTTATATGACCCCAAATAGGATGTTGTTAGATGTTTGAGAAGCAGTAGCGGATTCGGAACATCTAATTTTAATTAGATTGCATCCATCTGTGACATCACTTTGGAATGTTATTGGTTTTACTATTGAGTAAAGTATTACAAAAACAGAATGTCTGGGTTTTTCTTCTCTGATGACATTGGACAAAGATATGCATACTTAAATATCATCATTTTATGCACTTTTTCGGTACATATTAGATGAAAGCATGCTAACCGCTTTTCAGTACTTTCAGTACTTTGATTGTCTATTGTTGTCCATCACTTGTAAACTATTGAACATTTTCTTCTTTAGAACCACTGAACAAATTTCAACAGGTTCTGGCATATAGCACCCAAGGGAAGCAGATAGTTTTATAAAATTCATAACCTCTGCAGACACCCCTCCCAAGGGCATCAGTGGTTGGGCTAAAACCATCAAAAGTAATGCAATCTTTAATTTAAAAATATTTTAGGAATGAGTTCTCGCGCTTCATGAAATATGTCTACATGACAAGTCTCTGTGTTGTTTACTTAAGGAATGAATGAAATAGCAACACAAGTTATACTGTATAACCTGGGTTGGGGCACTTTACCCTTTATAAACTATGAGGCAGTTCAAAAAAATATTTTAGGAATGAGTTCTCGCGCTTCATGAAATATGTCTACATGACAAGTCTCTGTGTTGTTTACTTAAGGAATGAATGAAATAGCAACACAAGTTATACTGTATAACCTGGGTTGGGGCACTTTACCCTTTATAAACTATGAGGCAGTTCAAAAAAATGTAAACTGTTCACCCAGATTATACCAGTATAACTTGGGTTGCTATATGATACATTCTTTATTTAATTTTCAATCATTATGTATAGAAAACAGGACTATTTCTCCCTTAGAAACACCTTCAAATTGTTCATATTTTAAACATAAATCAAGCGGATTGATACGTTTTTGACGTAAGGCATTGTGACGTAGCCAATCCAGGTTATACAATATAGATTAATAAAGGACACAACTGGGAGCTCAGAGTCAATCTAGACAAGAAAATAGTTCTCCCTAACATTGTGGAAACCAACCTAAGACCAGACACAGTTTTAGTGTTCCAACAGTCAAAGACTTTGGTCGCAATAGACCTGACTGTGCCATGAGAAGAAAATTGTGAGGAGACACATGAGAGGAAGAGCCTGAAGTATGCAGACCTCATGGCAGACTGCAGGGATAGAGGCTGGAGTGTCTGTCTGTTTCCAATAGAGGTCGACTTCAGAGGTTTCCCACTGCAATCAGTGTGGAAGCTGCTGACACAATAAGGTGTATCAGGAAGAGTAAGCAAGACAGCAGCAAACAGACTGGGAGAAGCAGCAGGAAAGTAATCCTGCTGGATATGGCACCTCCAAGATGTTCTGTGCTGGAAGTCGGGATCCATCGAGTAGTGGATTGGCCATCACTGCTGACCCACCAACTGGAGCATGTCATGGTTAAGGGCTGAAACATCCAATGAAGGTTGGACACCATCTGACCACAATCGGAGCCGACAGGCGAGCACCAGGGGTGGAAGTTACAGATAGCGACAGACATGCTTAAGAGTGCCAAGCTGACAGTTAGCAGAAAACCATGACTGCCAGGAAAGACTGGATGGAGACTGGGGAAGACTGGTGACGACTGGTGACACTTGAGAGACAAGTGACTGCCAGGAATAGTCTGAATACTGTACATAGGGGCAGTTTCCTTTTGTAAGTCCCTGTGAGGGGACACCGAAATTTAGCTACGACTAAGATGCCAGCATGATCCTTGAGTCAACAATGCAGGGGAATGCAGAGAGGAAGATAAAGGTACTTACCAACATGGTGCATAATATTGAGGAAAAGCGGTTTGGGACGGTGGAAGGAAAGGCAAGAAATGAGAGTAAAGAGCAGACCCTGAAAAGGCGGGAGCGAAGAATTAGCCGGTTCACTGTCGATGACTACACCATAAGAGTAGAGAAAGGGATAGTCACAGGATGTACAATCTCTCATATCCTGTTCGTAATGGGTATGGGTACGGTGATCAAGACTTCAGAGAAAGAAACCAAGGATGGACTCGGGGATTTATCAGCCACTAATCAGAGGCTTTATAGATGATCTCACTGTGACAACAACGACCCATATATAGGTGAGATTGGTCCTATCGCATTTAAATAAAGTGTTTCGTGGACATGCATGAAGTTCAAGGCAAAGAAATCCAGATGTCTCGTTTTGAGGAAGGGGTGTATCAACAGGCAAGTCAAGATGTAAAAATACTTAGGAAACCCGATTTTAATCGGGTTTCCAAAAAAAGTGCTTGGAGAAGTGGTTCAATGAATCTCTCACAGACAAGGATATCATCGAGGACACAAAAAAGAAGCTCCTTGCTTGGTTAAAAAGGATCGATGGAAGCAAAGTACCACGAAAATACCGTATAGCGGGTTTTCTTGGCGGGTGTAAAATTTGGTGTTTTGCCTGCTGAAAGGTATGCCAATAATTTTGGCGTAATTTATTTTAGCGGACACAGGGATTCATCTCTTTGCTGATGAACACTAAGAAGACTAAGTTAACTGTTAACTGACTATTTTAGCGATTAAAATTTAGCGGGCTGCCA